CGCCATTTTGAAAAATAATTCATTCACAAACTACACTAGTGGGTATTTGGTTTTATTTTGTATAATGTACATAGTATCAATTTTTCCAGTAAAAATGAAAGGCTTGGTGCTGGAACTTGTTCATATTAATATGTGATAATATTAAAAGTTCAAGAAGTTAAACGTTTTTGGATATTAAGATAGTTTTTTTGTGTGGAACCATACTGAACAATCACGAAAAACTCCTTAGGAATCAGGTTACTGTAATCATGGACCTATATCCTCTCAGTCCCAAATCCTTCATAACAGTTGACATTGCGAGGAGAAAGGTGAAATGATCATGATCAAGCCTGCAAAGGGCAACCTTAAGTATCCTAAGTCACCCCAAACTAATCAATATCCAAGCACGCACGAAATTGGGGGTGAATGTACATGTCTAGCATGTATGCCAAAGTATTGATTTTTAAATAAATATGGTACGAGTTAATGTTCGCATTATTTGGAGTTCATTCTTAATCCTTCTATACATACTTTGAAAAGAATCACGTGACGGCCAATACTAATATTTATAAGATTATCAAAATCGAAACTCGCGCCTAGATTCAAGGGCGCAAATAAATTGCGGGAGCGCGAAATAACCTGTTTACATTTTATAATAGTGCAGAATACATTTAATTTGGTTCGGGATATACAAAATAAATCGATTAAGGCCTAAGTAACATTAACTTGTTTGAAATTTTGTTATTTGTTTTTTTATTCATCAATGATGTATCATGATAGCAGTGATATTATGACATGATATTCCTTCAAATCGTAACTTCACCAGGCCAAACTTGTCTAAAACTTGACCTGGCAGATAAATAAATAGCCATCTCTGCAGCAGTCGGCTTACATGAAGTCTTCATTCCCTTGCATCTAACCTCTGCCCCATTATATCAATTTCAGAGACTTATGTAATGTATATGGGTGTGCATATTATCAAAAGAAGGCTGAAGATGGTGAGGGTGAGATAAGGCAATGTCAATGAAAGTAACCTTTTGTCGCTCATTGGGCTGGAGATGAATTGTAACCAGGTGGTTGCCATTTATGCTTGTTCAATTTCGAATGAATAAATGAAGCAGACCCATTTGGGGAAAAATGTACAATTAAAAATTGTTTGAGTCAAAGTATAATAGCAATTCCAACAATTGTATGAAAGCTTTATTCCATGTGCCTAAAAATGCAAACAGAACAAAGCATTTAAATAAAAAGCCAACCATTCTATTAGATTATGGACAACAGAGCAGACTTCATACTTTGTGTCCTGCATCAAACTTCTGTCTCCTTCTAATATATTCCATTTAAAAATGCTATGTTGAAAATAAAGCTAAAATGCAAAACTACACATATTTGATTGCCTATGTTTCAATCTTTGTTCTGGTTCTGGCTTATAATAATCTTATTATCACATTACTTACTGGTCAATCAGTCAAGTGTATTAGTTGGATATGTTTGTTGATTTGTCGATTAGGAGTGGAGAGATCAAACTCTTGATCGTTTTGATCAAGCTCACAAAGACATATATTGTCGTTTGACCCAAGTCATGCTGAAGTAGGTTAAACAAGATTGATATTCTGTAAAACCTAATACAGAAGAAAAAACCCATAATTTATTTAATATATGCATAAAATGTTAATTACTTTAGGTAATTATAATATATTTAATCACATTTTACAATCCCCTTCCGTAAAACAATTAAAAAAACATGACCGTGTGTAAATATAGATCGAACTCAGTTCTATTTGAAGAAATGCAGAGAAAATCGATGAAAATGGCGGCTAGCCAAATAGCTGCATTTCGGTGTGTTTGTGTCCTAAATCAATCTATAAATTCCCCCCTTAAAACAATTATTATTGTATTCATGTATGGTACCAAATCCAAGCCAAAGGTTTGAAGTTTTTCATCATTACAAAGAGAAGTGGTTGCGGTAAACAATGAAGAACGATAATTAGACATAGATAAAATATAACTGTTTTATTAACCACTCATTAAGACTTTCAAACGTTGATCTTCGAATTCCGTGAATAACTAGTTTATATTTCAAAGATAGATAGCAGCGTTGATATACTGGCTTTCAAATAAGACATTGAACACACAGGGAAGTATATAATAAGTGCAACAAAATAATGTTTGAAAGTGGACAAGAAACACATATTTGATCTCAAGAATTCGGATTTAATGGATACTCGATAATACGTTCTGTTGTTCTCTGACGTCCGCGTAGCGCACTATAAAAGGTAACAATATAGAGAGGGGAAATTATTCTATTGCAAATCTTAGTAGAAATTCTACAGCGATCGCAAAACTCTCAGCATGTCTGCAAAGTCACCAGTCAAGGCCAAGAAGGCATCCAAGCCTAAGGCACCAGCTGCTCACCCTAAATACAGCGTGATGATCGCCGCAGCTATCAGCGCTTTGAAGGAACGCACTGGATCATCCCGACAAGCCATCGTGAAATACATCAAGGCTAACTTCAAAGGACTCGGTGGTGATGCCTCAGTCAACGCACAAGTTAAACTTGCTCTTAAACGTGGAGTAACAGCAGGCACACTCAAACAAGCCAAGGGAACCGGAGCATCAGGCAGCTTCAAAGTTGGCAAAGTAGAGAAGCCCAAGAAAGCAAAGAAGCCCAAGGCCAAGAAACCCAAGAAGGTCAAGAAGGCAAAGAAGCCCAAGGCCAAGAAGGTCGCCAAGAAACCAGCAGCCAAGAAACCAGCAGCTAAGAAACCAGCAGCCAAGAAACCAGCAGCCAAGAAACCAGCAGCCAAGAAACCAGCAGCCAAGAAGCCCGCTGCCAAGAAACCCGCCAAGAAGGCCGCAAAGAAGCCAGCAGCCAAGAAATAGACTGATTCACACCAGTAACACAAACACAAAGGCCCTTCTCAGGGCCACCCATTACTTCAATAAGAGAAATTTAATTTATGAATATGTGAGATCTGTTTGTTTTGGTATGGTATTGTATTTGATCTGATTTCTAAAAAAGACTAGAAAATTGAATGATTAAATATTCCATACAGATTGTTAACGTTCGCAATTAAGCCTTCACACGATGAATATTACTACTCATAACATAATATGTTGAAGTAATTTATTCAATTGAAATTCATCAGTTTTCTACAACTTAGTTACAATCAAGATTTCAGTAAAATTCATAAGTCAATTTAACATTCTATATTAAATCTTGAGCGTGAAGCACTATCCATTGTACGGTAAGCTCTATTTCAAAATCCTGAGAATGGAATTTCTGCATTTTTCCCAATTTTTCACTCGGGAATAAGCGCACAATAATAAAAATCTGCAAAGCATTGAAAACTTCGTATAAATATTGCAAATCCAATGATGTTTGATGTACTGTACATTTATTGCATTAATGAGTTTTATTGTATGAATGAAGTATAACAGGTCTTTAGTATCGATCTATGATCGATAGAAAGATGGCAGTGTGGTCTAACAATTCCAAACTGTCACATATCGTGAATGTTCCATTTTGTACAGGGAGCACTATAAAGAGATTTTGCCACTCATTTATAACATGTTTATTATTCCAGTATAACGTATAACTCATGAAGCGTTTGATTACGTCAGCATTTATTGCGCAGTTCTATACGTCCGTAAGTATGGATCCGTAAGTGTGATCTTCTTAAATCGTCGTCTATAACACTGTGTACAAGTACGAAAATCACATTTATGGACGAACAGCTGCACAATGAATGCTTCATTCTGTGGTGCAGAACCTCGAGTATAAATGCTTGCGTCAATGGCATGTCCTTTCTCTAGACTATATTGTCTAGCTTTGTGCCAAATGATAATCCGCAACATGACTTATACGTAAGTTTAAATCGAGAAAACCAAAAACTCGTATCCAGGAAGTTCATCCATTTTGTTACATTGACGTTCCGTCAAAGTAACTAGTTGTGGAGCAGTGCTTATCATCAATCAAAAAATATAATTTCTATTATAGGTCGTCGTGCAAAAAGAGAAAATGCAAGCATTTTACTAAAGCCATGAGGCCTACAGGGTGTCCCAAAAATTGTACCCAAATTAAACAGAAATGATGAAAAATTCATAGAAATGTATACTACTTACGGAAGATAACATTTTAGTTAACATGGTCTAAATGATCTCCATTAGAGCTGAATGTGGAAATAATGGACGAGGCTACTAAAACAAGTATTTCTCTAAAACTAAGCAATGTTACTTAATGACATTTTCAGATATATATGATGATGATGATATGATGATATATTTCGATGTATATGATGATGGTTTTCTCTAAAACTAAGTTGATTAGTTTTTCCTGTGGAACTTTCAGATGCCCGTCTGGTATCTAAATTTCAAGAATATTTCATCATCACTCACAGAGTTATGTCAAAACAAACAAGACATACACATGTCACAGCCTGCCATTTGTTACAGACGCCGACCGCCGACGACTGGACGCAAACTGCCGTCACAATTAAGTTGGAAACCACAACAATATGTCACCGCTTTTGGAGCTGACATAATAACATTACAAAAACGACAACGATGTGATAAATAAAAATGTAACAGGAAAGAGTATTTGTAAGTACTATCCTTAAAAATGGACAGCAACATACTTCTAGGACATGTTGTTTCAGGACGATGTCATTTTCCTACAACAACTATATTTTTAGGTCATTGTGCATAATTTAGTTTCAATCCTATCGCATAACCATTAACAGCTTAGCTCATGGAAGTGGACTTTTTCCTTGTGTTTACTCACTGATTCCTACCAATCAGCACCCCCTTCTTATCAACATGTAATTTAAAGCCGCGCTATCCTTCCCATTGCACTTTATATAAGAACTTACTTCGCGTTTGGTATCTCGAATCTTCACTGACACTACCAGTAGAGCCGGTGTTAATTATCCAATTGTAAGGATACTCAAGGCAATTTTTTTTTACATTCCACGTCTAATATTTTTTATCAAGTTTTTGATTACTGTGAAACGCAGTCCCACCAAGGACTACTGGATTATACAACACCAAATACAACTTATTGTAAGGATGAAGGACTGACTGACCATTGGTCATTTATAGTAATAATGATGCCAGGAAGAACTCCAAGTTGTAATATCGGACTAACATTGCTTTTTGTGGTCATATATTCGACAGGTACGTTACGTTAGTCTTTTGTGTTTTCAAATGTTGCCCATTGTGGTTATTGTGATCTCGCAAAACCAACACAGAGCTTCGAATTGATATAATATATGACTATAAATTGTGAAATTAAACTTTTAGGCCTTCATTTAGGATAGTGTGCTCACACAAAATGGGCTACATTTTTTGGAAATATTCACATGTAAGACCTTCACTAACATCATAGTTTTCCCACGTCATTATCAATTTTCAGAAAAATGCTCTTCATTTAGGATAGTGTGCTCACACAAAAATGGGCTACATTTTTGGGAAATATTCACATGTAAGACATTCACTATTGCATCATAGTTTTCCCCGTCATTATCAATTTCCAAATCCATTCCTAATCATCGTATCTTTTTCGTCTTTAAATAGGAATGCATATGTTCTCTGATCTAATGGATAGTCTATGACGAGTGTCTTGTATTTTAACTTAATTTGTTAATTTCAATAGTCTATTCTATTTGTTCTATTGTTTTTCAAAATATGTACATGAAATGTGATAAGTGAAAAATATTTTTTATGTCTTTCATTTGTAGGCTGTCAAAAAAGTGACTTTGCAGGCAGAAACAGAATCTTTAAGTTCCTAATACCTTTTCCAAATGTCAATCCCGTTTTATATTACAAACACAATTAATCCTGCTCTGCTTTGTCATCTCAAACGCCTGTTACGTTACGTTAAGGCATTTGCGTTGTTTAGCCCATTCTAAGACGTGTTTGTGATATATAAGATATGAAAATAAAGATCTTCAAATATCGAGCACGAGAACACAGGGGCGGATCCAGCAGGAACCAACAAGGGGCCCATATTTGAAGTATGAAAAATACGCTTGCGCGAAAAAAACTCTGGCCCTAAAAAGTGGGTCCAAATTTTGAAATTCCGGCCCATTTTCTTGGTAATTTGGCCTGAAATTAAAAAAGAAAGGCCTTAAAAAGCCCATTTATACCAAAAAGACCCATTAATCGGGCCCCTTAAAAGTATTTGGGCCAACAAATTTTCTGAGCAAAAATAATTTTCTGGGCCCATCCAAGGGGGGGAGAGATCCGCCAGTCATACAGTAGCTATACGTTCTAAGATAGCAGCGAGATATAATACACCTGCCCGCCACTGAATTCTACGTTCGCGTTGAATAGATATTAGATAATTACAAGGGTTATCCCTTGACCAATGGTATATATTTTGGGATAATTCTAATATTCATCTAAGATAATATTGAAAGATAAGTTTGAGCTAGTTTGAAATATAAATGGGGGCTTTTGATGTATTTGTAGCATGCCTTACCTAAATTTATCTCAATTCCAGTGGTCTGGGAAGCATCACAGAATCAATGAATTATGCTTTAGAATGATTTAGTGCAGTTTAGGCACAAGATGGTGTGGAAAATGCGAATTCCTTGCATACAACATCAAAACATCACTATTCACTAGACCTACCCTTTCTAAGAAATGACAACCAATTGATCAATCAAGCCTACGCCTATCCTATGACTAAAAGGAAGTCAACCCATATTTAGCATGTTATCCAGTTTTTACAAAATTGCCATTTCAAATTTTGCCGTTTTTACACTTTATTTTTGCGTGTAACAAATTCTTAAAAACTTTTTTTTCGAGAGAGAAAGACATTACAAATCCTATGATGATCAGATGTTCAAATGGACAAACGGTAACTACATTTTTTTGTTTAAACAGAACTTTGTCAATTCCAGAGAAGTTTTAACTGGGATAAGTATATTTAACATTAAATGCAAATACAGACCTTGAAACATAAAGTATGAGCCTTTCCTAAACAGGCAGAACCCACTCTGATAACCCTGAACCATTGACTATGTTTCCCACGGCCAATTGTGAAAAGAAAACAATTTAGAACCACGATTCTTATTTAGAGGACAAAACTGTTTAACCAGTGAATTTCTTCAGCCATTACCTTGATGGTTCAAAATATTAGAGAATTACAATATGTATCGATACATAATAAAATTATATAATATATGTTTAAGACATCAAAAATGTTGCCACGGCTCTTTGATTAATTATGTACATGTATTGTGTATGCACGGAACAAATTTTGAATTTTGCTTCTAATGATAGTAAGTATCAGTATGCATGATGTATGATGTAAGGAAACTGGTCTAATTGTCTGGATGCAGATATTTAAAGAACGACTGAAGTATCTCTTTTTACCTGTACTTGATTAGATTAACGGAATGTAATGGTAAACCACCTCTAACTAACTACACGTGTATCGGGTATATGATTTCCTACGCAAGATGTGAAACGGCCATGTTTTTGTGATTGGAACCTTTTTCGACCAGATGAATTTACATCGTTTTCCATGACAACAAGCGGTAACAACAGGATATTTGTTCATTCCATTGATTAACGCTATGTCACCGTGATAACGTTCATGTGTTGCCGATTATCCATATCTGTTTTTATACTCCACGAAATATGCTAATTGGCTTTTGAAAAACAATCAGGAACTATCAAAATAAACACGTTTGATTTGATGCGTTTTCCATTTGGTTCTGACAAACAATTGCGATTTTGAAAATGTACTAGGAGTATGATGATGATGCACTTGGGTAAAAAGTGCAAAAATATACTTGATTAAGATTCCTCATTCATTACAAAGTAGGTGGTTCTTCCTTCATAGCGATCGACAAACCTTAATTGTGATCCACTTGAAATCATTACAGAGTACCCATCCAAAGCGAAACACCCTCATATTCCTTATTTACAACGCTCCACTTGTAAACGTTATTGCGAAAAATGATCATATAGCCGTAATAAATAAGAGGGGAATTAGCGCAATTGCTTTGATGGGCAATAAAGACGATATAAATGCTCAAGATCAACAATCGGTGAAAAAAGAATAGTTGGTAAACCACTGATGTTAGGCGTTTCGATAAGTGTAAGACACCACTTGACAAGCTTTCCTGTTATATAGCTTTTGCATTAAAAGGTGCAATGGTTAAGAGGAAAATGCATAAACACGACTTGAAACACTAAACAAGATCATGGCTGTTTTGAGTTCACTTAGAAAGATAGATTGTTTGCCATTATATAATGAAAATTAGAACCATTAAACTAGGATTTAGTCTCCGTTCTCTTGAATACGTGATAGGTCCATCATACAATAGTATAGCAAAGGCAGGAAATCTGTATTCATTCCAAAAACATTAGTTGATGGACTCAAGTACATGACAAATTGTCTCGATTTTGAGGCACTTAACCTGCTTTATCTATGATGATCTCTGGTGAGCACTGGTCATAGCTAGAATGTTTTATGGGTTAATGCATGTAGGTAAAGAAACGTAATGATCAGTTCCTAAATAGAAAAGCATATACCGATTCAATTTCCTGCTGGTATGTGAGTAAAACACTATTCGATGATATCAGTGGTCTGATTGTATTGGTCCGGCCTTTGTACACAGAGCGTAGACAGATCTGATGAAAATAATAACGATTTTTGGGCCCCTAAATCCAAAAGTGGGCCCAAATTCTGAAAAATTGATGCCCATTTTCATCAAAATTTCGCCTAAAATTAAAAATAAGGCCCAGTAATGATAAAAAATGCCCACTTTTAGGGACCTTGAGGCCTTTTTTGGTCCAAATTTTTTGGAGCCAATTTTTTCTAGGCCCACCCAAGGGGAGGGGGCGCCCCCAAAATCCGCCAGTGTATAGTGTGATTGGATAACAGCTCGTTGTACATTTAGATTCAATTAAACCCCACTTATGTAGCAATACAATAGAATGAACTGCACAGTAGTTTATTTTAAAGAATGTACATAACATGACATATCACTTGGAAAGGTCTTGAAAACAAGTGTGGCACAAAAGAGTTGAATTGCTAATACAAAATATATCAAACTTCAGAGTTGAATAATACAGTTTAAGCTTAAATGGATCAAAGACCATTTACCTTTCATAAGAGTCAGTGTGGGTTTTAAGTAATATAAGTCATATATCGTACTGGCTCAAGGAGGATTGACTCGATATTCGACCTTGATCTATATAAACATTAAAAATGTCGTTAAAACTTTTCTGAGACTATAACTAACTATAATTCATAATCAACGATTCAAAAGATTTGAACTGATATACCTTGATCATTTCTTGTGTTTTGTTTTTTTTGTTTGGAAATAAGACCAAAACTCCATTCACGGTGGCTTTTTGATTTTGAATTTTGAAATCACGACATGACCCCATATAAATCAGAATGTCGAGTTGGAACACTCGGAGCCAATCTTCCATGGTATCGACTCTAAGGAGAAATAATGTTCCCACGCATATGGGCCTCGGCCATTTATTCACTTAATAGCCAATACTCATGGTTTATACATTATATAACGGCCTGATGCACTAGGGATTGATCATAACCTGTATGTACTGGGGTGAGATGTAAATCAATGTATAATTGCTGCCAACATCTGATCAATACCTCTCATCTCACCACACTTTTATATAAACAAACTCGAGATTTACATATACGATAATAAAGCACCTATGATCTGCGAACGTTTATTTTCAGCATTTAAGTAGACAGTACACATCCCTATTAAATCGTTTCCCTTTAAGAACGCTTTTCCATAATCAGTGGAAACCACCCGCCTCCTCCCCCCCCAAAAAAGTGTGAAAAACACAAAATAAATCGGCTAACTACGTAGCGAACTTGGCAAAATATTGTTTTCCATGGAATCGTTATGGCCTGAATTCTTGTGAATTGTTTTACAAGTTCCAAGTTTAGGAACATCGCGATTCGTTAATAAATCGAACGAGAACTGATATGCCGTTTCTTGCATTCCTACACCTGGGGCAATGTATAGGGAGGCGTATTTAGTAGAAGACAGATAATGTACAGAGCAAAATTTATCAAGAACGATTAATTGAAGATATAGCTCACAAATATATGGACTTAGAGTGGATATTTTTGGAGAGGAGCATGGTGTTAACGCATTAAAATCTATAGAACATTTTTTCAGAAATACCGGAACAAGGAATTTTGTTTTATTTCCTTAAACTATTTTATGGCAACAATAATTGCTACTGTTGTATATCTAAATAGCTAACACTTGTGATAATGTGATGGTAGGAGCATCATGTATCCAAACATCACTCTTAGAGGGTCGCAATTGACATCAACATTCATTAACTCCGTAGCTCTGTTGGTGAACTTAGGTAAGATTAATGCGCTCAACCTTTAATATATGAAACGATTTTCTGATGACGACTGACATTGTCTTCTTAAAGATGCGGTAAATTCAATAAAAACAATATAATGCAGCCCCGCCCATAGTTTACTATTTAATTTAATGTCACACACATTTTTGGTTTAAGTTTATCATCATAGTTCTAAAATATATATTAAGAATTTTATTACAATTTCTGTAAATGTAATATACTTTAATTGTATACACTTATTATTGTAAACTTATGAAAATGTTCTCCCCCTAGACGAAATATAGAAACTAAGGTTTAAGGGATGGTCATCACAACATAATTACTTGATCTCTTCAAAAATCGTTTACAAATAATTAACTATCGTATGTATTCTATATCTAATTACAAATGTTCTGCTGTAGTATAATTGTATATTGTCTTGTACTTTATTTTTGTAGGTAATATACGTTTACCCAAGATAATTAAATACAATTGCAATTACTTTACATATAAGATAAAGATAAAATTCGCCATAACACTAGGCAGAATATATAGCTCTAATTTATCTGAGGTCAGATTTCGCCTTTACTTTGAAGAGCGATAGCTGTATAATGATCATCCAACTCTAAAACATTTATTTTGTTATTAGTTTCTTATTTGCGACCTTAAAATATATGAGGTGCTATCACAGAATCCCAGGGTGATCTCTTACAGCGTAAGGAATATACAATGTTAAGAAGGCAAATTCTTCCCTGATATCATATGGTTGCTCTATCATATGATATTACCTGTAATCTTTATGTATTTTATTTGAAACGGCCTATGGATCTAAAACATCCGATGATCGGTTTCCTACTCATCTAGAGAATAGTAAATTGATAATGAATACCAGCATTAAAGGTAGAGAAATTGTAGTGTAGGTTATCTTTATGGAGCATAGCGCCTCTCTCAAAATAGATCATTGCCAACTGATTTAATACTCTATGAGGAGAATTTGATCTGGATATATTTTGACTTCAGAAATCTAGTAATCGTATAATAAAAGACAACTGATATCGTAAGACGATTGCTTAACTGGTTCTATGTCAGCTTAATCACAGGAGTGTAGCATCTCATGATCCAATAATAGAGCTTAATGAAGTAAAGTTCGCCACGACTCCAATGAAAACGTACCGAATGTTCATCACTATGTTTGCTATCAGATGGAGGCTTCTAGAGGTTGCTATCATTAAAGGCATCTACATATCTTTGTAGGAACATCTTCTTGTCTATTTATTGCTCATGTTATCGTGTATTTGTTAGGTGTCACTCAACATAATACCACAAACGGCATGCCATTATAGGGAAATGAGGCAGATATGTAACAAATAATTAAAATACATGTTATGTTTTGTTTATCATTTAATGTCAAACAAACGTATGTGAAAACGTCTCACATGTGCTGAAGTCAAGAGCGCTTGAAAACCAATTTGTATGAGCAATTAGAACCACTTATATTTGGCACTTGGCATAAATATAGACATTTTATTTTAGCAACCACGCCCATATTTTTAACAAAAATAGAAACTCTGCAAATTACTGAGCGCAGACATTGTCAGTCTGACATTCGCGTTGTGACATTTTACTCCACGCCCAGTGTTTAGCCAAATATCAATATTTCAATATACTAGTAGGCTATCAGATGAACGATTCTGTATTTCCAGTTGGCAAAAGCTGCGACGATCAAAGGGAGTTCACGTGTGCTAATGGCCGGTGTATCGAATTGTCCAAGTTCAACAACACTGTCAATGATTGTCATGACAACTCGGACGAAGGTAGGCTCTTCATCGTGCAAACTACTAGAATAGAATTATACAAAATATCTTAGGAGAACATGCCACTCGTTAAAAATCCACCTTTATCATGATTGTTAACCTGCATAGTTGGGACAAAAACTTCAAAATATTCAATGAGTATGGGCTGCCAGGGTTTCCATCCAGACTTAAGTATGGGAGTGTAGCATAAATGTTAATGTGAATTGACGCAGGCAATGTACCACATGATGCCCTAGGACACAGAATGATCATCCACATCACCATTCCAATGATGACCAACACTCAGTTTTGTATATACTTTTAAATATATTTGCGACTAAATGCCACACCTTAAGTGCATACTGGCATCCACACATTGAGAATCTCTAGGTTCTATGGTTTTTTAGACTTGTTTTTCTTTACAGTAGATACAAAAAATGCCAAAGACCTAAGGTTTTATGTCCTGTTGCAGAAACCCTGTTTTCAATTTACGAGGAAAACTTCTGACAAAAATCAAATTTACTAAATTTCACTAAAATATATATACTCACTTTATAGGTAACTTCACACTTTATAACGAGGTATTGGGGGTGTAAGCAAGGCTCTATTTTAATCTTAACTGACATATTTTCTATCTATTATAATATGTTTTTGAACAGTTTCTCACTTTCCAAGGGTAAAACAATTTTAACAATTATTGGATATCATTTAGTTGTTTAAACAACAAAAAAGTAGATTTGGCCTAATTTACTATCTTTACTATCTTTAATGTAAAAATTGTTTTGGATTTTCACCATCAGGAAAATGTGATGATTACCAGCAGGAAGGTCGAAGATAAGAAAAGATAAATGTGATGAGAATCAGTCGGAAGCTCATAAAATTAAAGATATAGTTTATTATCTAATCTGATGATTACAACATTTGACAATCTATATTTTCTGAGATTGTAAAGATCTTAATGATATATTTTATGTGCAGTGAAAATAAAAATTATCATGTATACTATGTAGAGATTTCTATTCAAAATACAATTCTTTAATATCACGCCTTGTTGAAATCCCCCATTATTTCAAAAGACTCAAAGTGATTTGCTTTAAAAACAGGAATCAGAAGAACAATGCCAGTAGGTTCCAACTATTAAATATTATGGTTCTTCAACAGGACATATTTCTGGATTTTCTGAGGTTTTGATTACTATCATAAACAGCATTCAGTAGCAGGCTATAAGTAATCGAGCTATGTCCATGAGCACCAATTATCACTCTCTGGCCATGTTGTAAAAACATGTTGCACCTATTTTAAAAGCAGGCTATCGTAATATTCACACACACTGATTTTCATTCCATCATGTTTTGTCAGCTGAGAAAAAAGGGTTACTTTACTGTGAAAATTGCCTTGATTTACTTGTATGTTGGTAATGTGTATCTGTTAACATATTACAGGCAAGAACGACATTTGAAATGTTTACATTCTCTGTTTTGTTCCGAGACACGTGTCTTCCAAACATTTTCAGTTGTGAGAGAACCGTGGCAAGAGGAGATCAACACTTTGAAGTAAAATAAACTAAACGTTTTTCGCAATTTAAAAAACGTGACATCCAGTAGATGAAAGATATGCAATGGTGATGTTTATTTGTAGTGCTTGAGATGTGTAAAGCAGGTGGTTTCTCGTGTAGCAATGGGAAATGTATACCAGGATTCTACCGACTTGACGGCGACGACGATTGTGGAGATGGAAGCGACGAAGGTGGTTGTTCGCATGATCTAGAGACCCCTATACACATAAACTAAAACCAGCACCGATACTAAAATTACCAACTTAACCAGTTTCATCTAACACTGTTAGTTTGAAATGTACGTTACGTTACGTTGTTGCTTAATGTTAATACCCCTGTTATTGTAACCTTTGCTTGCAGTTCCCAAACCCTGCAAAACTCCCGCTTTTACTTGCACCAACCCTGAAGGAAATCCCCCTGAGACTAAATGTATATCAGAAGCTTGGTATTTAGACGGTGGTCCCGACTGTGCTGATAGCTCTGATGAAGGTACCACGCATGTTTACACACAGCATGCAAACCCCCAAAAACTTACAGCATTGTAACCTGTCACGGATCAACTTTCACTAAATAAATCACAAAAATCGTCAATACATTATAGTTGATGAAACCGTATTTCCGTTTTTGATAAAGCTATTACAAAATGCCATAGGTATACTTTCGACGACTTTTTCTAAATCCGTTTATCCATAGCTTATCTCTTTGATGGATTGCCCGTTCATTCTTGTTATAGCGAAGGTGATTGGGACCGACTGTAGTAAGGTGTCGGCAGACAAAAACTGCTGTCCGTGCGACCGGTATGTACCCGGCTCCGAGTGTATTGAAGGTGTATGTAGGTGCAAGAAAGGTTATTACAGCAACGATCTGGGAACCATATGTATGAGAAGTAAGTGCTATGATGTATAGGAGTGTAATGATGTAAGGGATTGGATCTTTCATCTTTACGGAGCGAAGAGGTTTTTATCACAACCCACGATAATCCTTTTAACCATCTGCAAGTGAATGTTGAACATATAATTAGTATCTTTCAATTATAAAATAAACTATTCCTTTCACCCTTAGCTGACATTTATTTATTGCATTATCCGTTGATTTGATAATGTGCATGATTAAGAACTTTTTTACCCAGGGAGAATCTATGATGAATGCAAGAATGACAGGGAATGTTTAGATGCGTTCGCCAGGAGTAACTGTGACGTAGGGATATGTCTCTGCGATGAAGGATATGGCTGGGAAGAGGAGGAATACACATGCGAGAGACGTAGTAAGTGCGATGACGCATGACCACAGTACGTAGTCCTCTTGATGTCACCACATTGCTCGAAGATGGCACATTACATGTTTGTTGATACCTAATGTGATCGCCACCTTCCCTAATTGATGCTTTTTTGGGATTTACAGTGTTGTAGAGACTATGTTTGGAATTTGGTGTCAACCTACCCTGTCATCATGTTTTGTATGACATGTATTCACATTGTCAAAACCCTCGGATGCAAGTGTGACGTGTTCTAAATGTTTGTGTTCAGCACTAATATATTGTTTTGTTGATTTTCAGACAACACTTCATGAACATGAAAGTGACTGTGTTGAGCTTACAAATCTATAGTCTCACTGTTGTTCCAGATATTCTAGTTAACTCTGAATATTATAACAAATTGTGACATCATTGACAAATGCCTAACTTGTCTTATAGGAAAGGTGTTTGAGGATTGTGTGACGCACGAAGATTGCAGCAAATCTGTCGCCAATACCGCATGCATAGAAAATGCATGCAACTGTGAATCGGGGTATCTAGTTGGGGATGACCGCAAATCTTGCAATAGGCGTGAGTATAGTTTAGGTTGTTTGCAAGATAGAGTTTCAAATTGGTTTTGCCATTTGCAAGTATACATATGATTTTATTCTAATTTTTTATTCTTCAACATGTATTGTAATGACGTCTTATGGTTCTAGAATGGTAAAGTGGAGTTAAATATTAATTGTAATTTAGATTGTTCATCGATTGTTCGGAATTTTGCTGAACATTATGTTTTCACATGACAGATTGCACTCGTTCCATTTTCTCACCGTTTTTTATTTCAAAAAAAGTCTCAGTAGTATTTCCTTTCGGTCCATGTACTGTCATATCTCTACTAAAACCCGATTCTCTTCTTCATTACAAACGCTTTAATAATTCCTGGTATATGTTTCACAATTGCAGGTAAAATTGGTGATGAGACATGCTTCATTGATGCCGACTGTGAGGATGCTGTGATGTATAGTCACTGTGATAATATAACATGTGTTTGTAACTCTGGACGCTATGCCACGCCCGACAACACCATTTGTGCATTACGTGTAATAGGCGATAACAATTGTGTAATAGATTCAGACTGCTCTGATGCTGTTAACAATAGTCTTTGTAGGTTTGGGATATGTGTCTGTGATATAGGATACTCTAAGACAGACAATGGCACAAGGTGCAGAAAAAGACGCATTGGAGATTTGGACTGCTCTGGTGATGCAGATTGTTCAAGTGCCGTTGGCAACAGTCTATGCAGAAACAGCGTTTGTGCCTGTGTTCCTGGTTTCCAGGTTAGCCAGGACAATGATACTTGTACACAAAGGAAGATAGGGGATGACACCTGTGAATATGATTCCGATTGCTATTACGCTGTAAATAATAGCTTTTGTGAGAGCAATAAATGTGTATGCAACTTAGGGTACCTTACAAAAGAGAACGGCACGACGTGTCAAAGAAGAGTCCTATTAGACACTTGTGATTTATCACCAGATTGTGATGAGGTGATAGACTATAGTGTCTGTGCTAGAAATAGGTGTATATGCAGGGTAGGATACGTACCTATAGATGGAGACACTGCTTGTACAAAGATAGTATTGGGAAACTATTGTTTGAATACTTTAGATTGTGTCGCAGCTATATCAAATAGTGTCTGCGATGGTAGTAATACGTGTAGTTGCAAAATAGGTTTCGCAAGTATTAATTCATCATATTGTGCACTTCGGAAAATAGGAGATAACACCTGCCAAAAAGATGAAGATTGTCAAGAAGCAGTGGGAAATAGTACATGTAGCATTGACACATGTCTGTGTCAGTCTGGCTTTAGACCAACTGCTGAAAAGGACACATGCGTTAAACGAATCGTTGGGGATTCTTGTCAGCGCTCTTTTGATTGTTCAGACAGCATGGACAACAGCATATGTAAAGCCAAACATTGCCAATGCCAGTCGGGCTATGCCGCAAGAAACAGCAATACAATGTGTACAAAGCGAAACCTTGGCGAAATATGCACCTTTGACAGTGATTGTTCCGATTCAGTGGCATATAGCTCATGTTACCAAAACCAATGCCGTTGTGATCTGGGATATTTTCAGATGAACAATACATGCATTAAACGTAAGTATAACATGCAATTCTATTTTACGATGAACAAATCCCATGAAGAGAAGATTATTAACACTTGAAAAGAAATATAAGATTTGTTTAAAGTCATGCTCAGCTAAAGTGATGTTATTAGAGGGAAATGTTACATGTCTTAGATGCTATCAAGGTAAACACTTTGCTTCATAATATTCTGAGTTAACTAACATTCATTTACTTGAGATAATGTTTATTTTTCTATAACCTAAGTTCAAAACTTGAATATATCAATTTCAAACCATCAAATGAACCCACCAAAGAAAGTACACTTATCATGTGATTGGAGAGTAAACTATCAAAACGTTGTAGCCTAGTTGATAGAATACATTTTTTTGTAAAGTCAATATTATTTTGAAAAATAAATAGTTCTCACTTGCATTGAATCTTATCAGGCTGATGTACTTTAGTATCTGGTGTATTTCAGTTTCGATGTACTAACACGTCTTTCCTTATTATACGTTACCTGAATGCATCTTCCCTTTCTGCTTATAGGGACTCTTGATACAGAATGTTCCGTTTCTGTTGAATGTAGTGCATTTATACCCTTCAGCGCCTGCATGGAAGCAACCTGTAAATGTCTTCCTGAATACAAACCCCTCAACCATTCCCAGTGTGTGAAATTATCCCTTGGTGACCCATGTACAAACCACTCAAACTGTAGACATTCCCTATCAAATAGTGCATGTTTCAACAACACGTGTCAATGCCTCGCTGGATTCATGGAAACAGAAATTGGACGAAGTAGTTGTCGGCCAATATTAATCGGCGATACCTGCGTCAAGAGTAGGGACTGTAGGAAAGCTACTCCGAACAGCCAGTGCTCTAAAGGAAAATGTGAATGCAAAGTGGGATATCATAGCGTGTTAAAAGAAAAAAGCTCCGAGTGTGTACTGAACAGAATAAAGAACTATTGCTCCAGAGACTCCGATTGCAGTACTGCTGTGCGATACAGTATGTGCCACAATAATAGATGCTTCTGTGGACTCGGGTTTAAGGTGGTCGACAACAACCGACGGTGCATCCTCAGAGAACTTGGTGATGTATGCCAAGACAACAATGATTGCTCAATTCCGGATACCTCTTGTATATATTTCAAATGCAGCTGTTCCGATGGATATTACCAACAAGGTCCTTCCATTCAATCATGTACAAAGAGAAAGTTATATGACACATGTGAAAAGGATATCGACTGTGCCATAGTCATACCCAACAGTCGATGCCAGGATGGTCGATGTAGGTGTCAACATGGACATCAACCAGGTGTCGATCTTGAGACGTGTATTAGAAATTCTCTTGGTTCAACTTGTAAATGTGACAAGGATTGTATTACTGAGATAGAAGGCAGTAGATGTTTCAATGCATCATGTGTTTGTAAAATTGGGTATAGGTACAACCATGAACACGAGTGCATTGTTCGTAAGTATTTTTGTGCCTGTTTTGCATTTGGACTCTTACCCGAACCCAGACTTTATTAGCTATAACATACCCAATGCCCATATACATATATATGTAGATGTTTTTGTAGTTTTATGTATTGCGATGTTGCGGATATGAAAAGGAATTTTCATAAAGGAGCACGTAGGTTATCGCAAACAATTTCAAAGTATTCTAACTTGAATTATGAATATTTTTTGATCATGAACATGGGTGTATCTTTTAGATCCATTCGTTATCTTCAAGAAAAGTATATATAATGATAATTTAGTTAATCAGACCTAAGTGATATTGAAGGGGCAATGGACCAATCAACATACTTTTTCAAAAATGTTGACCTAATTTTCACCAAAAATGCAACCTATTATTATATTGTTGAATGCATAATAAGAATGTGCTTTGGGACATGTTCGATTTCCTAAAAGGAAAATTTGATTGCTCCAGGGACTTTAAAGATATTCAGTTTGGATGACCAAAATGAACTGAAACCAATGGATAGCATGAGATTTTTCAATGGAGAAATAACATGGGGAACACTTATCTTAATGCAATTAAGTTTTTCTTTCAAGAACTATTTGATACATCAAAATAAAGAATAGTAATGCATTAAACATTGTAAAAAATGATTGCATTTTTGGTGAAAATGGGGTCAACATCTTCAAAATGGGGTCAAAAAGTGTGTTGATGGGTTAATTGCTAGTTAAATATCTCCGAGTTTGTTTGAATTTATTATTACTGTGCATAATTTTCTTTGAGATAATGAATTGATCTAAAAGATAAACTTGTCTTCATTGTCAGAAAATACTCATAATCCAAGATATAACCTTCTGAAATTGTTTGCGATAACCCACGTGCTCCTTTATTTTTGCAATTGATAGAGGAGCTAGATTCTTTTTATGTTGTACTTATCTACTTTATCTAGGGTGCATGTGATGGGGAATATAATGTTGTATCAATAGAAACTACCCTTTCAGGACAGATCGGTGATGCTTGTGATATTTCTGTGGATTGTGATGCTGTATTGAATAAAAGTGTATGCCTGAATAGCACATGCTCTTGTGAGATCGGGTATAAGCCATTAGCTAACAGAACTAACTGCGTCCAAAGTAAGCAATTATATTATTAACACAATCTTCTCCTTAGATTATAACACGTGACATGGAAGTCACTATATGTTGAAATTTCAATCAAAGTTAAAATGATTGCAATCAGCTTTAAGAGAGTATATTTATGTATGTAGGACATTTAGGGGATAATTGTACCAACCATTATGACTGTTCAACAACAACAGATGGCAGCACATGTAGCAATTCTACTTGCCTATGTCAGACTGGATATAAAACAGATTGGAAAAGTTTATCCTGCCAAAGAAGTGAGTACTTGTACTTGTATGTGCAATGGATTTGAAATTGCAAATGAAATATGAAATATTTGCATCACATGGTCATCTTTATTTAAAGGCCCACTTTGCGTATTTTAAACATTTTGTGGGAAAAGAAGTCTTAGTGTGAATTTCATAGTATTTCCAATGGGTTGATAAGTACTTCTATCTTTCATTTGACACCAATAACAGCTCAAACAGGCCACATCGAAGCTTGCTATGCTATCAAAAATATTTTTGATATGTCAAGCTTTATATATCAAGTTTTCATCAATGTCAATGAAAGATGGCAAAATTTATTGCATTACATGATACATTCATTTTTATTTAAGTGTCACCATCTTTTAAATCAAGAGTAATTTAAAACATGCCCTTTGTTAAAAATGTGCATGTACTTCTAATGATCTCTGAACTTCAAATGCTGTTTTCTACGTGAGTTATTTTGCCTTGGTTAATATTACTGCAAATCAAACATTGCATCATATTTAATTGGGTGTGAGAATAACATGATTTTTTCTTCTATATTAAGCACAGTGGGACTTTAAGCGAATATCTAATTTGTGGTCTAATTTAGGGAGGCTAGGCGACGTTTGCCTCGTGAACGTTGAGTGTTCTGAGGCGATGAACTTCACAGAGTGTGGGAACTCCGGATATTGCCAGTGTGTGGACGAATATGTACCTATGAATATGACAGAGGGATGCATGTTAAGTGAGTACATGTATATAGTACATGTATGTTTACTAGTGGTGCGTTTTGATAACATGGGTCTGGGTTACTGGTACGTCAAGATGGACGGAGAAGTCATAGCCTAAAGGTCGTGGGTTCGAGTCGCTGTTGCTCACGGCATTAACTATTTTTTCTTTGTATAATTAGGCCAAAGGGAAGGGTAGACATCAAGGAAAAGAAACCTAAATATCCCAAATCATAATCTAACGTGACCTATGATCTATTTTAGGGCCATTTGTACCCCTGCCAGTTCAACCTGGGCCCCCACCGGGGTGTGACAACTACTGTCAGGATCAAGAGAACACAATATGCTTGTATACAAACGCTGAATACAGATGTATGTGCATTGATGGGTACGCCCGTAGACATCGTATAGGACATTGTTACAGTAAGTAGTCTATAAAATTGAACCAGATTGTTAAAGAAGTAATACAGTAAGACTATGAATAAAATCAGACAAACAACAGATTTCTAGTTTTTTCAGGCTTTGTAATGTCATTTGGTTTATTTTACAGAATCAAGGATATACAGTGTAGTTGTTAACATTACACAAGTGGCTGGTCTTTATGATTTTGAAGATATTGAGTACATTGATGATATGGCACAACAGAACTCTTCAGAATACAATGATATTGTTGCCAGGGTGACGCGATCAGGGGTATGTCACAGCACGGACCTCTAAGGGGGTAGAATAAAATATAATTGTTGCAACAAATTAGTACTCATTAAAAAAATACTGTTTCAGTTTCAAATAACAGATCAAGTAAATTACCCCACACACAGTGTTGCTCATGATTTTTTCTTTGATTACAGTTCGATAAAATAATTCCTCACACTTATTTGTCAGACGGCTATCTTGGCAGTGATGTATCTGGTATCGCTGATGCATTTTCTGGTATTCTTGTCAACGTGTCCCTCATATTCCAATATAACTACAGTGTGGGACTCGGTAAACTGAGAGATAATTTGATCAACAGAGTTAATGAGTAAGTCCAAGTAACAAGTAAAGAAATCAAATTACAAAATTATTTTGCCTCTTTTAGGTTTATATCCTTTTAAAGATGTCAATTTAAGAGTAAAAAAGGCTCCAAAACTTAATAAAATATGTAGTTTGGATGTTCATTTATGTCTGGGGATGATATTTTATACCACAAACACTTATAGATACCTGAAATTTGCAATAAAAGTGCCCAAAAATTGTTGTTTAGAAATTCCCCATTTTTCCTGTATCGCGCTAGTCACGCGACCATTACGCGTAGCAGGCAATACAGATATTACAGTACATATTTCAACATGTTCAATATGGCAAACATCAGCGATTCTGATTCCCGGGTTCTGAGAAATGGCTATTATAAATCGGCGAGAGGGTGTAATTTGACTGGGGAAAATACAGGGGAAAATGTGTCCAAGTATACCAGTAAGAGAGCAATTATGGATACTTTAGACAAGTACTATGACGGTCGGAGAATCAACTAAAAATGTGAGTTCTGGAATGAAGACTCGAGGAGACTGAGGATCCGATCCATTCCTATTACTCAGTTTGAATTTTTGACGCGGAAATCAGGTTATGAAAACAGGTTTTCTTAAGTTATCAACTTTAGAAAATATGGATCTTGTTTTTGAGTAAGGCTTAACAAGCATTTAGATACAAGACTTGGCTATCTCTTGTCAAATACACGCAGACTTGCTGTAAATTGGCCATTGCAAATTGCAAAATCAGATCGTCAAATTAATCGCTTCGTATTTAAACGTATGCTTCATATCTTCATCCAAAACTTTAGTATTCATTAGAGATAAGTTATAACTTGTACAGGAAGAAATGGCAGATCCTACCTTAATTTAGAATCGCTGATTTCTCTGGACAAATTCCGAGAAGAAATTGTTCAACATCACGATCAGCTCAGACTACATGTCGTACGCGTGTACTTGTCACTCTGAACTCACGTGATAAAATACGGCATCTTGATTGGTTACTACTCACGTTCCCTCATGTTGTCATGACGCGAAAAGCAGTAGTAAGCACTGAATATGTTAATGAACTGCCATATATGGAACAATTGTCTTTCTGATTGGTTAACTTTACACGCCTCCTAAATGAATATAGTAGTCGTAGTAAATGATTCATTGATAACTATGAAAGTGGGCGTGACCAGCTTTATTTTGACACCACATTCAAGATGTTTCAAATCAAAATGGCCTCGCAAGACGAGGTTGAAATATCGGCAATTTGATACTGATATGGTCTACGATAGATCAAAATTGACTGCCCCGCGTCACATGTCACGTGAGCCTATATTTGTTGAAAAATGAAAGAGATAGTGACATTTTTTAATCATAAGTTAATACCAATATGACAAGCACGTATCTATTTTTTTCATTATATATTTATTTCTTCATTATACATACATTTGTTTTATACTACATTGATTCATTTTTGCAAAACCTTTGCTATTAGATCTTTAAAATTTAAATGATCACAATTTCTTGATTTTTAACAAATGTAAAATGTTCCATAAAACTAGCTTGTAAATACTTATTTTGACCAGAAAAACGTAATGTTGACAATCATGGATCCTGGCCAGATTCTTTTGCAGTAGGATCAGAAGCTCAAAGAATAATTCTATAATTATTCTTATAGCCTATGAGACCCTACTACAAAACGATCTGGCCAACATCTATGTTGACAATGCTTTATATGGCTATATATGTGGAGTCATTTAACTTGGATTATTATTAATTTTAGATCAAATCGAGAACTGGGGTTTAGTAGACTCCTTGTGGCGGAACCACTCTCAGAGACTATTTGGGTTGAAGGTATGTTAAACGAATAATTCCTTTTGCCGTTTTGATATGGTTACCGTGACTGAATATCTACTTTCCATATCCGTTTTATAAGAAAAGGTTTTGCTTAGTCTTTTTTTAAAATGTTATGTTTATTGAAGTTAAGTGTGTAATTCAGCTGCCATCTTTAAAGATATCAACACAGGAAGTCATGACAATGGCTATTAAGTTTGCAAATTGCATGAGGTAAAAAGGTATGTAAGAACAAAATCAGTTGAATAATCGTTTTCAATTATAGGTATGATTTAGTTATTTTATGTTATTCTAATTTGACAAGTCATGAATACATTCAAGGACAAGGTTATAAAAGTTCATAGTCGATGATATCACTTCCAGTGTGAAATCTTAATAGATTGCAACCTAATGAAAATGAGAGGAGCATTTTGAATGAGCAATGGCCAGATCTTCGAATCATCTGATGAGTATTTTCTACCTGAACGACCAAAGCGTATTATCATAAGGAAAAATCAACGAATACAAGGCAACAAACCCCAATAGCCCAATCAATGATAAAACGTACATAGTAGTGTAAAAATGACCCACTATTCCCAGTCAGTGTTGAACTGAATAAGCGTTTGCAAATTCATGACCTATAGAGAATTTCATTTATTTCATTACCCTTAGATGTGAATGAGTGTGCCCTAAACACAAACGACTGCCACTTTCGCGCTGTATGTATCAACTTCATCGGATCCTATACTTGTTCCTGCAAGGCAAGTTATAAAGATGAATCCCCCAATAAATCATCGAGGCCTGGACGAAACTGCTCGGGTGAGTATCAACTACTAACTCCACATAGTAACACGTGTTGTAATATATTTATTCCGCGTGTTGGTACAGTATTAGTTCACATTTGATCTATGCCTATGCTCTTTTGCAGATGTGCATCCAAGAGCGTTAATGCACTTCTTTATAAAGAATGCGGGTTGTACAGATGGGATTTGCGAGACACCTTGGGCGAGTAAGTCAAGTCATAACTGTGTACCTAAAATCACAAGCTCAAAACAATAATATATAAAAATTGTAACATTGAAACATTGTAAATAGGTGGCAAGGATAATGCCCCAAATCGCTTCGTATTTTTAAACCAAGTTTATCACATTTTCAGTGGTGATAGGCGTGTTGGTCTTCATATTTGGGCTTCTTGCAATACTCCTCATTATGGAGATATTCATAAGGATTGAAAGAGCGTAAGTGTTCAATCTGATCATTGTTATTAATCTACTCAAATAGCACTACTTTGCCTGGCTGCAATAGTTATTCAGGCAAATATACTCTGCAAAAATCTTAACATCGTTTTACATAATACATTCAACAATCAACAGACAAATAAGAAGTCAAATCTCAAAGATTAATCACTATATTATACTTGTCAAGAAAGACTACCATCCTATGCATCGTACACAAAGTATTAAGGATCTTTTGCTTTTTTCAGTAAAAAGGCGAAAAGACTAAGGTATCGAGAATATCTGTTGGGTGACCTTAATGAAAAGGAGCGAAAAGATGCACTAAAGAAGTTAAAGGAAAATGGAGGATATACTAACATAGCATTCGACCATTCGGATGAACCAGGTGAATACTCGGTAGTTCCACACCTTGCTGGCTGGGTCATTTTTTACAAGTGAACAATATTTCATACTGTAAATTGCGAATTGTAAATTTTATCCATAATTTTTTTTCAGATCTCGAAGGGCTTATGATTCCATTGGAGGAAGCAAATGCTGCAGATATTGACGTTTTAAGTCAAACTTTAGAAGACAATACTCCTGTTGAGGAGGAAATACCAATGTTGGAGATTAAACATTCCGTTTCAACGCCAGGAACTACTAAGAAAAACCCAAATACGACACACCTATCACTGGAAGACAAATATAAACACATACCATATATAGACAAAGATTCCATGTCTGATACATCATCACTCATGAGATTCTTTCAACACATATCCGACGAAAGCTGATATACACCAAAAGTACATTCTTGAATAAAAGTCCAAACGAACATAGACAAAATACTCCAAAATGATTCCTTGGTTAGACAGGGTTACTCTACTAATCAAATGCATGCATCTATAGTCAAATCATAAATGTTTGGGAGTACTTTGAATTTAAAAAATAAGCAATCAAATGACCAAATTGAAACAATTTATGTAAAAATAGGAACATTTATATTTATCCTAACTTTTGTATATTTCAGATAGTAATGTATAATGTGCAGCAAAGCTGTGGCCTTTTGTAATTTAGGAAGTTTCAGCCATGTTAATTTTTCCGAAAATAACATGGCAGAGAAGTATCAAAATATAAGAGGACATAGATATGATAGCTAAATTACAAAACAAACTAAAATATACAAAAGTTAGGATAAATATAAATGTTTCTATTTTTACATAAACTGTTTCAATTTGGTCATTTGATTGCTTATTTTTTAAATTCAAAGTACTCCCAAACATTTATGATTTGACTTTTAGAATTAGAATTCATTCCTTAATGGTAAAATAAAATAAACGCTCACATGCTAATAAAAGTAAAATGGAATATCTTCACTAATTATATTCAATGTTTCGTGAGATACCTTACTGCGAAGAGACAAAGAGTGTATTGCAATTCTTACATTGTGAAACAGTCGTCTAATATACAATTTACCTCAACGTTTATTGACATCAAGGGCAACACAGTGAAACACAGCGCGAGTGGAGAAAGGGAGAGAGGAACTGGTGGTTCACGACTAACCAACCAATAATCGCGTGCTGAGGACTTAGTTCGGGTAAGAGGAAACTGGTCAGCGACATCGGAGCTGGCAATCGCGTGAGTCGAAGTCAGGGGCCCCTGAAATTATTTGTAAACTGCATATTCCCAATACAACAAGCGAATTACCTTGTATTCAATCTTGTTTGAAGTGATACCAGGATGTTCACCGCTTTAATTATAGAACACTGTTGATGTCAACATGTTAACAGTTGTCAAAATGTAAAATCCCCAACTAACTTACCGACCAATCAGTTATTTCACTTCCTGATGCCTTATTCCCGACTAGCTAACCGACCAATCAGATATTTCACTTCCTTATTAGTTTACATCTGATAAAGCAGGTCACCCATTCATTCAACGATTCATTCAAGTAAATGTGAACATAAAAAATAACCCTATCCCCTTTCATGTTTTGATACCTGGATCCAGGCATAAAGCTACAGAGCGGTTATTCTCCAAAATCAGTCATTGTTAATAATGTTGAACACTTGTATACACACTATATATATATAGCCATGATTAAATGATATTTTATTGTCACCAATAATCAATATTTAATGATTAACATACATGTACATCTGCAGTGCTTTTAAGATTACAAGTCTACAAATTATTTACATGTGCAAATAGTTTTATATATTTCTCGGCACAGATCTTGACCTATCGTATTCGTTGTTATTGAGTCAGTAAAAGCAACATATCGTTTATTAAAGAAAAGACTACAATATAATTATAGATGTGATTATAGAACAACACTAGCCAGTCCAGGTTGAAGATGACCCGCCATTTATTTAGTATCAAATTGTCAATTCGAACCCAATCCTTTTCGAATTTTCGTGATCTATAATTAATCTAATGGTGATTTCTGACATACAAAACCTCTTGTACACAGAGGAAATGGTTTTAAATTGGTATTACTTAACATTTTTTAACAGTGCGATTCTTGATATTTCAGTTTCCAATGAGCATCTTTATTTTGAAGGAACGAGGAGTTTTTGAAAAACCATCTCATCAGTATAATGTTTGTTATTGAGCCCACTGTATGACAATAATGCGTCTTATTGTCTATTACTTGGTGTAGACTTTGTCAAATTGCCGCCAGCATCAAACCATCGTTACCATTATTGTCTGGATCTCGTTGCCTTCGTCGCCGGGGCATTGCAAGAATAATATTTTCCCAGAAATATTTATTATTTCTCGCAAGATATGTTCTTGTAGATAAATACGTCTCTAAAGAAGGATGTTTTGCTAAATCATCTTCGTCTAAAGTATCCAGCGGGTCATACAGCACTAAGATGACAGGATCTCGTTCACCTCTAACCCAATCATCGTGTGACTTTATAAACTCATATAAGGCGTAACCACTTTGTAGAAACTCATTCGACAGAACGATAATTGTCCTTTTGCTGTTGTCTATGGCATTATTTATGTTGTCCATGATAGGTTCCCCAGCTCTGAAGTCACGTTCGTGTAAACAGAGCTTATACCCAGCTTCTTCAAGTTTTTTCAGCAATTCATCACGCACCCAATCACCATTGAGCCCACTGTATGACAATAATGCGTCATATTGTTTATTACTGTTGTCTATCCTGTCGAATCGCCAACCAAACCAGATAAAGAACTTAAGTTTTATATGTGATTCAAATCGTTTAAAAAGTAATACAGTTGTAAGGATGAGAGATACAACAACAAGTACTCCTATAATTGCATGGAAGTACGAAGTCTGCTGGAATGGTATTGGCGGCTCTGGAATGCATGTAAGGTTCGAATCACTGATTTCGAATAAAGGAACCAACTCGGTCAAATTGTCTCGCATGCAGTGAATGTCTACCAAATTGGGTATGATTGATTGGTGAGAGTTTAACCATCTCTTTAATGGTAAAGCCCTACAGCAGTCCCATGGATTATTAGACGGCAAAACAGACCATTTTGATTCCCATCGCCCCCGAGCATTTATATGACCACTTCCAAGTACTTTAAGTATCGGGTTTCCATTAATTAACATCAGATCCAGTGATTCAAAAATCGTAAGATTTACATTCTGAAGACGATTGCCTTCAAGATCAAGGGAAGACAGTAGTTTTAGGCCAGAAAATACATTGTCTTGGATTGTTTTGATAGAGTTGTTGGAAATGTAAAGTTCATGCAACAAAAATATGTTTTTAAACGGTTCACCGTTTAGTTGTACTATGAGATTATTATTTAGGTTCAATATTGTTAATTGAACAAATCCATTGAAAATGTCATTCCCAATGAGTGCTGTGATTTGACAGCTAGACAAGTCTAAAATCTGCAATATAGGACAACTAGCATTATGAAATGTTGCCGAATCCAATTGATTGATGTTATTATGAGATACATCTAGTACGTTAGTTGTATTTGGAATTTCAAAGGGTATGTACTCTAGTCCTTTGTCGGAACATTTTATATGTATCCAAACGTACGGCTCTTTCACTGTATCAGCAAAGCACTCGCATTTTTCCGGGCACTTCATTTTTATTTGACAAAGATATAGACGAGCTGGCACATCTTTCATCCTCTTTGCCGCCCCATCACTAAGAACTGGAACTGTGCATAGAGACTCATTAAGTTTGTTTCTTGCCCATCTCATGAAACAATCACATACAAACGGATTTTCTTTATCAACAATAAAGTTAAGATTTCCTGTATGATCCGTGGATATGAACGTTGGATCTTTTATTGTTTGTATTCTGTTAGCCGACATATCCAGTTCTTGCAACCATCTTGATAGATAAAATTGATTTTCTGGAATATAGGTGATACGATTATGACTTATATTTACACTATGAAGAATAGACGAAATATCCGTCAATACTCGTGGAATTGACCCAAATGAAGTCATATTGTTTACTGATAGGTCTAAATGTATAAGTGATGGTATAAGATGCATATGTTCAAAGATATTCCATGCGTCCTTAAGTTGATTATTTGCGACGTATAAATGGCTTAACATTTTATTTGATTTCAACGAAACATTGAAGTCTTTGATCTGATTGTAACTTAAATCTAGGAGTTGTAGATTTGTACAACCGTCAACTAGTTCCATAGATATATTGACAAGATTGTTATGGGAAATGTCGAGTTTACGTAACTTAAAGAATCCTGTGAACAAATCTGCTGGTAGTGCACTTAGGTTGTTCCCTTTAAGATCTATCCATCCTAATGAATGACGCAAATGTCCAAATATACCATATGGTATAGTAGTTATGTGGTTTGACTGAAGTGAAACAATACGAAGAGATTTAAAGTGCTGGAATGTATATTTTTCAATAGTTTGAATCATGTTATTGTCTAATTCAATAGTATCCAACGAGTTAAGACCCTCAAGCATTGTTCCATCTAAGTTAAGGATATAATTTTGTCTTAGTGACAACGTTTTTAAATGTTTTACTTTTTTGAATATTCCAGACGGAACCTTGTTGACTTTGTTGTTGTCCAGGAAAAGATATTCCAATTGTTCAAGACCTTCAAATGCCAGTGCACCAAGTTCTGCGATTTTATTGTTCCTTACGAATAAACGTTTCAGCTTTCCAAGATGATGAAATGTGAAGTTCCCCAGAATTGTTAAGTTGTTCCGATCTAATCCCAGAAGCTTTAGGTTTGGCATTAACAAATAATCAGGATGAATGATTGAGATATGATTATCGCTGAGCACAAGAATATCTGTGTCATTAGAATAAAACATATTAGCTGGAAATGATCGAATAACATTGCCATTGAAATATATGAATTCGAGCCGAGTGTCCTTAATACTTCCGTGTACGTGTTCGATTTGATTCATCTGGAGGTCTACAAATGTCAAGGCTACGCATTTCACGAACAAATCGAATGAGAAATGAGTAATGTTGTTCGAACCCAACTTTACATGTGTAAGATTGTATAATTTGGACGTACTTGAAAATATGTCGACTGGTAATTCTTTTATCCAATTCTGTCCAATGTCTAAATGTTCTATATTTGTTAACCCTTCGAAGGCATTAGCGTCCAAAATATGTATGGAGCAATTATAGAGACTAAGGTTGGTCAGCATGTTCATTTGAGAGAATGAAGCATTTGGTATACTGACCAATTTGTTATTTGAGAGATCCAGATCTTGAAGATTGCCTAGACATGTCGATTTGGATTGGAACGCAGCAGTTGGGAATCCTGTCAGCTTTAAGTAATCCAATTTTAATGTTTTCAGTTTGGGCATAGTGCAAAATAGTCCATTAGGGAGGAACCCTATTGGGTTTCTTGTTAGGACTAAATCTTCCAATGCAACCAAATCATCAAACGCATGTTGCTCAACTACAGAAATATTGTTGTTCGCTAGATCCAACCATCTTAAGTGAACAAGGCCCTTTAAGAATGTCACAGACATGTTCTTCAAGAAGCATTCAATTCTTGAGTAACGAATATCCTTATACTGTCCCAAAGTAACAGCATTAGGAATCCAAGGTTTCAATCCATTGTATTCTCTACATTTAACATGTAAAACGGTCGTGTTTCTTTGAACCAACGGATCGTCCCCAATCATTTTCTATGTCAAGCTTATAGATCGTGCTCACGATGGTGTTGCTCTTCACATCCAATACAGTTGAATATTGACCAACTGTTAACCATTTCGAACTGTCTATATCAATGACAACCTGACCCTGATTGTTTTCCAAAGGCCATTTGTACTTATATTCTGGAATGTCTTGAGATGTTGCTCTGTACATAATCCAATTTTCAGTCGGTGGTCCATCTATTACAATTTGTCTCGTCTTCGAAATATGGCAGATGATTAAAAACACAAACGCAAAGCAAATTAAGTTTTGAATGTCCAACATATTGCTCTCTAGATGTCGATTATATTTGTATTATGTTTTTATAGTTTCTTAACAGCACAGTTGCCTTTTTACCTGGAATATAGCGACAAGCTCAACAAAATAAAGTAAACAAACCTTATATTTTCTGCTGCTATGATTTGCTTTGTGGAGTTTTACATACCAGGCCGATCAATTTTATCGATTCAAACTAGTTTTGTGACCTTTTCATTCACACTGCTACCCACCTAGTTACACAGACGTATCGTCAGTGTATCATGGCTGAACTACTTCCGGGATTTGAATTTGGTAAGATATTTTTATTTCTCGATTTACATCTACTTATAAGTCACGATATGGATTATAATTTGGCTCAAGTTATGGGAGATAGTCTTATTTGAGAATGTGTCGATGGTTTTAGGTTGGGTATGTTAAAGAATTCGCATTTCACATATTTAGTACCTCGCTTTTGTTACACTGACGATCGGCATTAATATTGCCAATATTACACTGATATTGGTCGTTCGTCAGTGTAACAAAAGCGAGGGACTAAATACGTGAATTGTGTCTTCGTTAACATATAAAACCTAAAACCATCGACACATTCTCAAAAAAGACTATGTTCCTTAACTTCGAGCCAAATTATTATTCACAACGTGACTTATAAGTAGGTGTAAATCGGGAAATAAAAAAATCTTACCGAAACCTAGTCCCGGAAGTAGTTCCGCCATGATACATTGACGATACGTCTGTGTAACTAGGTGGGTAGCAGTGATTCAAATCTGTGGTGTGAAATAATTTTTTAAAGGTTTTTGTTATTTATTTCTATATAATTCAACATAATTATTTACATAGATTGCGAGGGGCCGAGGCTACATATAAATACATTCTAGAATTAGAATGCTTAGAATGTTTTAAACACTGATTCTTCTGAACTTTGATGAATTATATGGTTACTTGTGAAGCCTAGGTAACATTTGCCCCAATCTATCGGCTGGTGCCCGGTCGATTGAGTATTTTGTTCAAAATTGAAGGTCAACTCTCAAATGTTATGGTCAGTTGTAAACTCCTGGGAACTTGTACATGATTTCAAAAAAAGTTTGGTCAATTTGAAGCAAGTTGAAATCAGTTTTGAACAATATACTACAATCAGCCGGGCGGCGGCCGATGAATTGGAGCAAATTTTTTTTTTTTTATAGGTTATGTTTTATTTATCAATACTTTCATTTCACAATGTCCGACAATGGGCCAAGGCCATTGGCATTAGTGGCCCATGTCGATTTTCACAAATACACATTTATACAATTTCTAAAATAGAGTTAAGTAGGCACATAAAAATCAAGTAATTTTAGGCTGCTGAACACTCAGCATGACAATACATGTAAGTTACATGTGACATTTTACACCAAATATATAAAGTTAAACATAGTCTACAATTAAAGAAATAAAGTTGGCAGTTGTTGTGACTATAAGCTTGTTAGTTTCAATTTTATATGTTGAGCCACCATATAACAATGTATCTAGTTTCTCTTTTGCATTTAGTTTGTTATAATGGTTAATGTTGAAATTGGGTATCCCTGCAAGGTCAAGTGCTAGTTGTTCCCTGAGATCAAGTAAAAGGGGGCAAGAAAAGAATAGGTGTTGGGTTGTCTGAGATCGAAAACCGCACAGGCATTGAGGATTGACATTATTGAATTGATGCTGGAACTTATGGTAACGAAAAATGAAATCACATCTGGTTTTATTAAGTACTATTTCAGCTTGCCTGTCTAAATTCAAGTGGACTGTGTCAATTAGGGTCTTCTTCGGAAATAAATGTTTTTTAAGATGGTATTTAAAAGTGCGCTTTATTGGAATGGTTTTGAGTTGATCAGGTAATGTGTCCCTCTCCCATTCAGATATAGAAGAAACTACAGTACCGCGTCTAGTTTTTTCAGATTGTTTCGCGGGTACAATAAAATGGGGCGTTTTTCTTAGGGCTCGAGTTGGCCTCTTGTTTCGGTACAAATTGAAAATATTTGAAATGTATGGAGGGGCATTTTCATAATAAACATCATGCATTAATAACAGTTTCTTTTGTTTTCTTTTTTTCCGATAGTGGAGCCCAGTTTAGAATTTTCAGAACTTTGTTTGTATTTGTTCCCTTGATACAGCCGCTAACAATTAAGGCTGCCTTATAGTGAAGCCTGTCCAATTTCATGAGTTCGTGTTTTGGAGCCGCATCAATTAAAACTGAGCCGTATTCTAAATGGGGTAAAATAAAGGACATATACATAGTTTCAAGGTGTTTACTAGCAATCTTATATTTTAAACAATTAAGTGGATTTATCATCTTGTCTATTTTGATACGGAGTTGGGTTATGTGTTCGGTGAAAGTCAGAGCATCATCTAAAATTACACCCAGGTGGCAATGTGAATCTTGTCTTGCTATAGTTACACCATTCATGGTAACTGGCTCAAACTGCCTCTTGAAACGACGTCTACTCCTAAATATCAATTCTTTACTTTTAGATGCTTTGAATTTCAACTTCCGCAAATCGGACCATTCAGACAACTTATCAAGATCAAATTGTATTTCCCGCTGAGCTTCAGTTAAATCTCTGTCCTTATCAACTTTAAAAAATATAGAACTGTCGTCAGCATATAAGAACATTTTACCATTTCTAATGACTTCAGGTAGATCATTTATGTACAAAAGGAAGAATAACGGCCCCCAGATAGATCCCTGGGGTACCCCACTATTGATTATGCCTTCCTCTGAGAATTTGGAATATATATTATTGACACGGCAGTTTAATTTTCTATTGGTAAGATAACTTTGAAAGAGATCAATAATACTCTGAGGTAAACCGTATGATTTTAATTTTTTGATCAACAGGAAGTGAGGAACGGCGTCAAAAGCACCTTCTATGTCGAGGAAGATGCCTCTGGTGTCCGCCAAATCATCAATATTTGAATTAATAAAATGAACAATGCTTACCAGTTGGAGCAAATTGGACCTAGACAAAAGTACTGTAAGTAATGCCTTGGTCACATTTGCGCCGGGCGCCGGCCGATTTCTAAATCGACCAGGCACCGATGACTTTTTTCCGATATCTTGATTTTGCCGTGAGTATTGTATTGTATATCTTTATTGCCCATAATAAAATGGAGATACAATTTATATGTACAGTGATGTAAAATAAAAGTACAAAATTATGACAAAATTATATACATATTAGACGTATGAAAACTATTCAATGCGCAAAATGCTCGTACGGTTGAGTCAGGCACTGTAAGTGTCTCAAACACAGCCGAAAACTCGAACTTGTGCTTAGTAAAACATTCCTTAAGTTCTTGCCTGTATATGGAGTATTGTGCGGCAGAGCAATGCATTAAGAAATGTTCAACCGTCTCTAACTGGAATGAGTTACACAGTTTACATCGTTTACACTGATCTTCACCTCCTCTATGCTTATAATTCAAGTTGTGCTCACCTACCAAAAGTCTGAACATTAGTTTACAAGAGTCTGTTGCCCGCGGAAAATTTTGAGCAACGATCCACCATATATTAGGATCCAATGTAATACAAACGTTTTTTCTAAAATCTGCAAGACTGCTGTACATAATTGACTGAATAGACGTTCTATAAATTTGGCTGTGTGAAACATTGGCGAAAACGAATCTTTTCCATTGGCCTTTACTTATCACAATATTACAATCTAACATATTCTGAATAATCTCTCTAAATCCATACCTCATAGCACATTGCAACATTGATGCCATGGGTGAAAATATTTTGGTATTTTTAAAACCTTCATGTAAAAATTTTGTCAAACGTATTACAAGTAATCTTTTGTAAACATTCTTATATGATAACTGAATAAGACTCCACAAGAACATCATTCTTAAAAAATCTATATACAAGTCGATATCTAACCACCCTATGGTCACTGTAGAAATGGAATTGCTAGCAGATCTAGGCAAGGACTGGATCCTTCGCCCAATATCACGTTGTGTTTTATTAATAGTTTCAATGTCCTTCTGCTGATAATTCACAACTGGGGCAGCATAGGTCATACATGGAATTGAATAAGTTTTATACAGTTTAGATGCAGAAATTGTAGTTACACCTCCACATTTATTTCCAATACCAAGTAATGAGTAAAATTGCTTTCTTCCCTTAGTACATTTTTCTTCTACATATGTTGAGACATCATTTTTGGAGGAGAGAGGTACACCTACATGTACTTGATAATCTGATTTTTCAATTGCCTCACCTCCAATACTCAAACTGTGATTAACATGTATGTTTTTATTGTCATTAAAGGTCATATATGCACATTTTTGTGGATGAACTTGGTACCTCCATTTGTTGCTATGATGTGTAAGATGATTTAGAAGGGTTTGCATTGACATATATGAGTTTGACAGAATACACATATCATCGGCGTAACATGGACAAACACATTTGATATCTGCTACAGATGCACCGGTATGAACTTGCATCATAGTATCAATTAAATCTGACATATACAATTGGTAAAAAAGCATAGAAAGAACCCCTCCCTGGTGTACTCCTTGTAATACAGGGAAGGTTTCAGAGCATATTTGGCCTACCATTACAGCACATTCATACATTTTATAGCTAAGGTACAATATTTTTCATAAATGGCCTCTAATACCGCAGTCGTACAGTTTAACCAGGAGACCATCTATCCACACTGTATCAAATGCCTTTTTAATATCACATATTGTAATAATTAACATTTGGCCTTGTTCAACATTATGAGCAATCGTTTCTTGTACCAACAAGGAGGTATGTCACAACATCCCTAGGTCACATTTGCTCCGATTCATCGGCCGGCGCCCGGTCGATTGCGTATTTTGTTCAAATCTCAAATTTTCAGGTAAGATATGAACTCCTGAGAACTTGTACATGATTTTGATTATTTTCAATTAATTTAATGACAATGAAGCCGATGAAACACAACCTAAACAAACACAAACAAATCAGACCCACAACCCCACTTGGAACGTTGCTGTTTGAGTTTAAAACATCTTGGACCCCTTATGTACTGTAACTCACAGGTAATTGAGAAGATCTGCTGCAGGATAGGGATGTCCAGCCTTCTATTATAATTCAAGGATGACAATATGTAATGACACATTAATGTCATCACCCTAGGATCATCTCAATATAATAAATGGAATGTTTTCAATAATTGGTTTAAGAGAAAAACAATGTTGAATTCAGTTCGCCATATCGATACCAATCCTTTTGAGCGTTTATCTAACACAAATACATACTTCTTACCAATCGTTAGCAGGGAAGAAGCACTGACCTAGATAAAGGCCTCTGACCTTGACCTAGATCAGCTCAGACCAGTCAAAGAAGCATATAAATGGTTTGCTGAAATCTATCTGGAAGTAAGTGAAAAGTGTAAGAAAATCTGTTTTAAATCGATAAAACATCAATGATGTGTTCTGTGATTGCAGTGCTTTAATACATATATTTCAGGCGGGTATCTTGATATTCACGTATATGGCATCGCTACTTTTTTTGGTATACTTGTCAACGAGGATTAGTCATTCTTATGCTCATCTGTTTATTTTGCAATTTACGTTTTAACACTTTATCACTGGCTGGTGATTAACTATAAGTAAAAGGAAATGCGAAAACAAGTAAGCGGATGAATAATGGTCAGATGTAATATTCTTATGATTTCACTGGAGGAGGCATACGTTTCATTAAACATTGACATTACCATTGCAGCTTAAATCTTAATGTCTGCAATTTTTTAAACACTAACTGAGTGTCATTATATTTGGTATTGTTGTAAGCCTTGTTTAATAACCTCTTCAGAAAATTTTTGTTTTTTCAAAAATACGTCAACATAAGTCAAATCGAGGTCAACGTGACCTAGGGGGATCCAAATATTTGACATTTTGTGATAAATTGTCAATTTTCTTTAACAATAAATTGTTTGTGCCAAAAATGCTTCGCTGCCTTAAATAACAATCTATTATCTTTCAAATAAAAACTAAAATCATGGTAAAAGCTTTTCTAGAACTGAAGTTACACACTTTCAAAGATAGCAGGTATCGCGAAATTCCATTGAAATTAATGTAATGTGGATTGAATACTAGTCAGCAATTTCAACTTCAACTTGATTTTGTCTTTAGTATTCATTTCAATTTCAAGATGTACAACAAATGCCAATTAATGATTTAGTATGCAGGTGTATGAATGTATGACTTGGTATTGTTCCAATATAAGTTCGGTTCATGGTGTTGCCTTGCAACAACCTAGCAACGGCACAAACATCGAAATAGTGAAATTGAAAAATGGGGGCCGGGGAGAAAAAAAAGTATATCTAAAATTCGGAAGAAGGTATCATCATAATTCTGGTACCACCGTGTGCATAAAGATATAGGAACATGCAAAAGAATTCAAAGGTATAATTCAAAAGATAAAGCTAGTTTTTGAAAAAATCAGTTTTTCTCGATTAACTGTTTCTTACCTTAAAAAATTCATGACACAGTCGATGGTGGCTCGATTTTCATGAAATAAAGCATATTGGGAAGAAAATTCAATAATTATACTTAATTGTTATCTATTAAAAAAAAGCAACAATTATATTTTTGTATTATCTAGAGCATTTAAAACAAAGTAACAATCGATATTTTATTAATTTCAATTTTATTGGCATCAAGTTCCAACTATCATAACTTTGCCCCTCTACCCCCAATCACCTTGGTTTTTACGCCAAATAAATGTCTGTGGCTCAAGCTAAAAAATTAATGGAGATGCCAAATATTTTGCAAAAAAAATCAAGAAGGGGGGAAATAACGTCACGGCAATACATTTTATGATTTCAGACAAGGAGGATTGGCTTCAAGAGTGCAACATCGATATTTTGTCCCATATATGGGCATGTCGTGATACAAAATTCTAATTCAAATAGCCGCCATTTTGTTCACTTCAACATTTGAATCATGAATTTTGGTCTTCTTTACTAAAAACTCTCAAGAAATGATCGAGATATTGGTTCGAATCTCCTGAACTGTTTATTTTGAATTAAAAGACGGTTATAATTTCAGAAAATAACGACATTTTGACGTTTTCATTGTTGGAAAATATCAAGTTTCGATCCTGGGAGCCACCTCCTTGATTTCAGAAAAATGTTTGTGAAAATGCCTTGCAGTTTGTCATAAGGGCATATACATTTTAACGATTGTGCATTATAAACGTGAAGAAGAATGCCAATTAAAGCTGAAATAATGGCTAAAAATCGGACCCTGTATAGGCTATTTCAATGGGAAAGAACTCGGATGTATGTGAAAATTCTGTACCCGAAATGAGAGCTCTGAACAACGCTGAAGGTAAAAATACTGTTGTCACTCTGACCTATCGCGCATCATTTTGTTCTTCAAATATATCCGAATTATTTTGGTATATTAAAGTGAGATGCTAGTGATGTGAAAAACAAAGGGAGACAATCCGCTTGATTCAATGTTTTTCATTGTGAATATATAATATTTTATATCTAATTATTTCTGTGAAAATGAAATCTATAAACATTTTTCAGATCTTGAAGTTTTTATTATGACTTCCACCGGAACAGACAACTCTGCGTACATTACACAGGACACTGCGAGAAAAGTAAATGTCTATGCTGAAGAACAAATAATTCCATCACCAAGAACTACTAGAAAAATTCCCATTCCATCACAAACAGGCGTATCAAAGCTTATTAACACTTTTAGATGAGAAGTATCCGAGTAGACACAAAATTATTTAAGGTTTACAATATGTAATCACTGGGGGAGGACATTTGTACTGAAAGGAGCGTTATCAGTGTATTTTTGTACTGAAAAATATACTGACTTTTTTTAAGTACATGTCTCAGTATATTAGTATACTGAAAAATGTACTGATAAAAAAGTCAGTATATATATAATGTACTGAAAAATATACTGACTTTTAAAATCATTTTTTAGTATAAAAATGTACTGAAAAATATACTGACTTTTTAAGAACATTTTAAGTACAAAAATATACTGAAAATATACTGAATTTTAAAAATATACTGACTTTTTATTTTGAAAACTGAGCATAAATAATATACTGAAAATCCATCTTGTATAGGATATTTCCATACTCAGGGCAATTTGACATTATGAGGAGATTGTGACACCTGGGTACACCTGGTCATTTTAATAGGTTAATGAAACACTTTAACACTAACAAAAGGATTAAAAACTGGATGTGTCTGTATGGAGAACAAAAGAAATGTCTGAACTCATCAAGCTTAATTGGTTTACTATATGATCATGCCTCTACTTTGCATTGATAAATCCATGATTACTTCATTCCTTGCACAAACAAAATGAAAATATGATATGAACACAATCACAAATTAATTGCAATATTATTTATACTTAAAAATGTCCTTAAAAAGTCAGTATATTTTTGTACTTAAAATGTCCTTAAAAAGTCAGTAAATGTTTCAGTTTTTGTATACTGAAAAATGTACTGACGTTTTTCAGTATACAAATATTCTGAAACATTTACTTAAAAAAGTCAGTACCTTTCAGTAAAAAGATACACTGAAAACGCTCCTTTCAGTACAAATGCCCTCCCCTAGTGATTAAACCTTAAATAATTTTGTGTCTGCTCGGGTACGTCTCATCTATATATAATGCAATGCGGTTATAAGAAATAGCGTGTTCGGATTGGATTAGGACACCTTGCATAGCCTTGCATAGCTATGTGTGAATTCTACGCTAATGCACTTCTTTATAAAGAATGCGGGTTGTACAGATGGGATTTGCGAGACACCTTGGGCGAGTAAGTCAAGTCATAACTGTGTACCTAAAATCACAAGCTCAAAACAATAATATGTAAAAATTGTAACATTGAAACATTGTAAATAGGTGGCGAGGATAATTCCCCAAATCATTTCGCATTTTTAAACCCAAGTTTATCACATTTTCAGTGGTGATAGGCGTGTTGGTCTTCATATTTGGGCTTCTTGCAATACTTCTCATTATGGAGATATTCATAAGGATTGAAAGAGCGTAAGTGTTCAATCTGATCAATGTTATTAATCTTACTCAAATAACACTACTTTGCCTGGCTGCAATAGTTATTCTGGCAAATATACTCTGTAAAAATCTTAACATCGTTTTACATAATACATTCAACAATCAACAGACAAATAAGAAATCAAATCTTAAAGATTAATCACTATCAAGAAATACTACCATCCTATGCATTGTACACAAAGTATTAAGGATATTTTGCTTTTTTCAGTAAAAAGGCGAAAAGACTAAGGTATCGAGAATATCTGTTGGGTGACCTCAATGAAAAGGAACGAAAAGATGCACTAAAGAAGTTAAAGGAAAATGGAGGATATACTAACATAGCATTCGACCCTTCGGATGAACCAGGTGAATACTCGATTGTTCCACACCTTGCTGGCTGGGTCATTTTTTACAAGTGAACAGAACAATATTGCAAACTGTAAATTGCAAATTGTTAATTTTATCCATAATTTTTTTTCAGATCTCGAAGGGCTTATGATTCCATTGGAGGAAGCAAATGCTGCAGATATTGAAGTTTTAAGTCAAACTTTAGAAGACAATACTCCTGTTGAGGAGGAAATACCAATGTTGGAGATTAAACATTCCGTTTCAACGCCAGGAACTACTAAGAAAAACCCAAATACGACACACCTATCACTGGAAGACAAATATAAACACATACCATATATAGACAAAGATTCCATGTCTGATACATCATCACTCATGAGATTCTTTCAACACATATCTGACGAAAGCTGATATACACCAAAAGTACATTCTTGAATGAAAGTCCAAACGAACATAGACAAAATACTCCAAAATGATTCCTTGGTTAGACAGGGTTACTCTACTAATCAAATCAAGGGCGTTACAATACCCGGGAATTTATCGGTTCGTCCAGTACTTGTTTGTGATAGCGCCCTCTGTAGGTCACTGTGCTTATAGCCTACAGTAATACGGGGTAGGATATCGGGAATTCGGTCAGTTTCTATCCGTCGATTTCGCTATGAATTGAAGCAAGTGTGACCACTTTATCCACTTAAACAATTTGATAATTGATTAAATCTTTAAACAAAATCGATAAACACGTTATACACTTCCTATCTCCTTAGAAATTAGCATGTATTTATGGATTGTGTTTTCGAACAAGGCTCGACCCACCCCAATAGGGAAATCCTTATGCTAATTAGTATGACGTCATATTTTCCTGGGGAATCCTAGATTTCAAGGCCTCAGTCTGTTATTGTGTCAAATGTAAACGCTCTTGGGACGCTCTTTTGCAGACAGAAAATTGACAGATTAGCTTTTAACTTTCAGCTTTGATGTTTAAATATTCTGTATTTCTACCGGACTTCTTGCTGAATATCATATAATGTTATAACTTGATTTGGATCATTGCCTGATTGATCATTCTGAAATTTTGATTGTGATTCATGATTGATTGGCAAGAAAAATAATTCCTATTGTTTTCCAGCGAAGTCAAAATGTTACAGCATGAGTTATAATGTCGAGTTTGCATCATGTTAAATTCTGCTAGTGATTAGAAGTCCATGCACAAGCATACACATAAGAGACAAACACACCCAGGCTCCAGGCCGTGGATGGAAATATAAAACTATTTAAGGCACAAACTGGTATTAATAGACCGATATGTAGTGTCTGCCATGTATTGAAGGTAAACCAATCTGTATTATTAATGTTTCTTCTATCAATACATGGGTTGTACAATAGAAAAGCAATGGCACAATCAAAAATGTGCATATCAATCGTGAATATCTCTCGGTTCAAAGCTTATTTCCAACAGAATCGTGTCAAAATATGTGTCTGAGTAACAGTTATACATTATAAGATCGCAAACTCTTACCAATTATCAGCCGAATGGCTCATTTTCAACGAAATGTCCTTAAGACAACAGCCCTGGGTCGCGCCTGAGACCAAAAACTACTTCAAATAGCCCTCCCCTAATTATATTGGATAATCACATTTATGCGTGCGCGCGCAGCTCATCCAATGAACGAAACGCCACTTCCCGCTGAAATCACCGGGTATTGATCTTTCCCTTGATCAAATGCATGCATCTATAGTCAAATCATACAGGGTGATCCAAAAAAAGCGAACCCCTGCAACAGGCTACATTTTTCTTAATATATGCATGAATTGGCTCATATTATCACATGTTGTAGAGAAAGGTCTAAAATTTTGGTTGATGCCATAATTTATTCTCAGTCTTAAATTTTGAAGAAATTACAAGCGTTTAACAAACATGCCTGGAAATTAGACATTGTACGCAATTTTACAAAGGTGATTCACGGAAATTGTTGAAACACATTGGATGATCTTAAATAGCTTTCAGTTAGAGATACAAGTTTAAAACCCTACCATATGACAAAAGGGACACTATTCAAGCAGAAAACACATTTCACACTTTCATTGATCATTTTGAAGCATTTTTAACTGTTCAACAGTTCAGGGGTATGTTACCTACATCAACAGTTAGAGGGGGGCCTCTTATGGAAGGAAGTTGCCCCCTGTGATCAGGAATCTGATAACCCCTTCATCAAATATCTTTAAAAAATCAAAAGAAAATCCAATATTCAATGTTTTGAGCCATATATCATTAGAATTGGTCCATGATTTATGAAGATATTGACAATTCAAGATCATATAGGGGTATGCTCATGATTTCACTGGAAAATGTTTTCGTCTGTGGAAGCTTAGCACATCTCTTGGATCACAATAACTTTGCAACTAACAAATGTAGGATGCTAATTTTAAGCCATAATGTGCAGGATTTAAAATTGAACAAAGTCAGAAAATTTTAGTTCTTTAAGACTGCAGCTTAAAAAATTCTCAGGGGAAAGGTGTTAAAGGGTTGAAGAATTGCGGATATTGAAAATCACAATTTATCCATTTTCAGTAATGTTTGGTTAGGGCTTATAATTTCTGCAAATTTCAAGACTAAGAAAAATGTATGGTACCAACATAAATTTTAGACCTTCCTCTACAACATATGAAAATAAAAAAGAATTCCTGCAAGTTATAAGGGAAATATGGCCAGTTGCAGGGGTTCACTTTTTTGGACAACCCTGTAAATGTTTGGGAGTACTTTGAATTTAAAAAATAAGCAATCAAATGACCAAATTGAAACAATTTATGTAAAAATAGGAACATTTATAATTATCCTAACTTTTGTATATTTCAGATAGTAATGTATAATGTGCAGCAAAGCTGTGGCCTTTTGTAATTTAGGAAGTTTCAGCCATGTTAATTTTTCCGAAAATAACATGGCAGAGAAGTATCAAAATATAAGAGGACATAGATATGATAGCTAAACTACAAAACAAACTAAAATATACAAAAGTTAGGATAAATATAAATGTTTCTATTTTTACATAAACTGTTCCAATTTGGTCATTTGATTGCTTATTTTTTAAATTCAAAGTACTCCCAAACATTTATGATATGATTCATTCCTTAATGGTAAAATAAAATAAACGCTCACATGCTCATAAAAGTAAAATGGAATATCTTCACTTATTATATTCAATGTTTCGTGAGATACCTTACGGTCGTCTAGAATACAATTTACCACAAAGTTTATTGACATCAAGGGCAACACAGTGAAACACAGTGGGTGGAGAAAGGGAGAGAGGAACTGGTGGTTCACGACTAACCAACCAGTAATCGCGTGCTGAGGACGTAGTACGGGTAAAAGGAAACTGGTCAGCGACATCGGAGCTGGCAATCGCGTGATTCGAAGTTAGGGACCCCTGAAATTATTTGTAAACTCCATATTCCCAATACAACAAGCGAATTACCTTGTATTCAATATGGTTTGAAGTGATACCAAATCACATATATGTATAATCACGGATGTTCACCGCTTCAATTATAGAACACTGTTGATGTCAACATGTTTACCCCCCCCCCTTTCACACCAAACTAGTTCTTACCCGTTCTTGCCAGTCCTACGAAAACGTCGTAAAACGGGCTCAATCTGGCTGTGGTCGGGAAATATGTCTAAAATGATTAGCTTCTTCGTTCTTAAACAGTCTTCAATACGTCCATCTCGTTCGCAGTTCGTTCAGGTCGCACCACGTCGATATGCAACGTTGTAGAACGCGTCCCTTATTCTAGAAGGTCAACATGACCTGATTACAGAACGGTATGGTCGCCATCGAATTTTGAATCGATTCAAAATTCTAAAATCACATTCCCGTCTGAGTACGTTCATAAAGTTCGTAAATAGACCTTAGAAAGTTGCAGCTACATTCATTCCGTTCGCACACAGTTTCAAACCAGTTTTGAAGAACGCAGTGGCAACTTGTTTGGTGTGATAGCTATATTTTTGCTAACTTTTTGTTAAGCAGTGTTAAATACGTTCTTAATCAGTTTAAACCCGTTTGCAATTAGTTCTACCTCGTTCTCAACACGTCCTCAGACAGTTCAACTCGTTGTTAAAACGTCTAGTAGGATTGAAGTACGACGGTTCCGTCAGTAAAACAAGATATAAGCGTTAATTAAAGAAAAAACTACAATATAATTATAGATCTGATTATGGAACAACATACTAGCCAGTCTAGGTAAGATGAGGCGCCATTTATTTTAGTATCGGATTGTCAATTCGAACCCAATACAAATCGCCAACCAAACTAGATAAAGACTCAGTTTTCAAGCCAGCATCAAACCATCGTTACCATTATTGTCTGGATCTCGTTGCCTTCGTCGCCGGGGCATTGCGAGAATAATATTTTCCCAGAAATATTTATTATTTCTCGCAAGATATGTTCTTGTAGATAAATACAACTTTAAAGAAGGATGTTTTGCTAAGTCATCTTCGTCTAAAGTATCCAGCGAATCATACAGCACTAAGATGACAGGATCTCGTTCACCTCTGACCCAATCATCGTATGACCTTAAAAACTCATATAACGCGTATCCACTTTGTAGAAACTCATTCGACAGAACAATAATTGTCCTTTTGCTGTTGTCTATGGCATTATTTATGTTGTCCATGATAGGTTCCCCAGCTCTGAAGTCACGTTCGTGTAAACAGAGCTTATACCCAGCTTCCTCAAGTTTTATCAGCAATTCATCACGCACCCAATCACCATTGAGCCCACTGTATGACAATAATGCGTCATATTGTTTATTACTGTTGTCTATCCTGTCGAATCGCCAACCAAACCAGATAAAGAACTTTAGTTTTATAAGTGATTCAAATCGTTTAAAAAGTAATGCAGTTGTAAGGATGAGAGATACAACAACAAGTACTCCTATAATTGCATGGAAGTACGAAGTCTGCTGGAATGGTATTGGCGGCTCTGGAATGCATGTTAAGTTCGAATCACTGATTTCGAATAAAGGAACCAACTCGGTCAAATTGTCTCGCATGCAGTGAATGTCTACCAAATTGGGTATGATTGATTGGTGAGAGTTTAACCATCTCTTTAATGATAAAGCCGTACAGCAGTCCCATGGATTATTAGACAGCAAAATATACCATTTTGATTCCCATTGGTCTTGAACATTTAGGGGGCCACCTCCAAGTACCTTAAGTAACGGGTTTCCATTAATTAACATCAGATCCAGTGATTCAAAAATCGTAAGATTTACATTCTGAAGACGATTGCCTTCAAGATCAAGGGAAGACAGTGTTTTGAGGCCAGTAAATACATTGTCTTCGATCGTTTTGATAGAGTTTTTGGAAATGTAAAGTTCATTCAACAAAAATAGGTTTTTAAACGGTTCACCGTTTAGTTGCACTATGAGATTATTACTTAGGTTCAATATTGTTAATTGAACAAATCCATTGAAAATGTCATTCCCAAGGAGTGCTGTGATTTGACAGCTAGACAAGTCCAAAATCTGCAATATAGGACAACTAGCATTATGAAATGTTGCCGAATCCAATTGATTAATGTTATTATGAGATACATCTAGTACGTTAGTTGTATTTGGAATTTCAAAGGGTATGTACTCGAGTTCTTTGTTGGAACATTTTATATGTATCCAAATGTACGGCTCTTTTACTGTATCAGCAAAGCACTCACATTTTTCCGGGCATTTCATTTTTATTTGACAAAGATATAGACGAGCTGGCACATCTTTCATCCTCTTTGCCGTCCCATCACTCAGAATTGGAACTGTGCACAGAGACTCATTAAGTGCGTTTCTTGCCCATCTCATGAAACAATCACATACAAACGGATTTTCTGTACCAACATGATAGATAATATCTCCTGGATGATCCTTGGATATGAACGTTGGCTCTTTTATTGTTTGTATTCTGTTAGCCGACATATCCAGTTCTTGCAACCATCTTGATAGATAAAATTGATTTTCTGGAACATCGGTGATACGATTATGACTTATATTTACACTACGAAGAAAAGACGGAATACCTGTCAATACTCGTGGAATTGATCCAAATGAAGTCATATTGTTTACTGATAGGTCTAAATGTATAAGTGATGGTACAAGATGCATATGTTCAAAGATATTCCATGCGTTCTTAAGTTGATTATTTGCGACGTATAAATGACTTAACTTCTTGTTTGATTTCAACGAAACATTGAAGTCTTTGATCTGATTGTAACTTAAATCTAGGAGTTGTAGATTTGTACAACCGTCGACTAGTTTCATAGATAGATTGACAAGATTGTTATGGGAAATGACGAGATAACGTAACTTAAAGAATCCTGTGAACAAATCTGCTGGTAGTGCACTTAGGTTGTTCCCTTTAAGATCTATCCATCCTAATGAATGACGCAAATGTCCAAATATACCATATGGTATAGTAGTTATGTGGTTTGACTGAAGTGAAACAATACGAAGAGATTTAAAGTGCTGGAATGTATATGTTTCAATAGTTTGAATCATGTTATTGTCTAATTCAATAGTATCCAACGAGTTAAGACCCTCAAGCATTGTTCCATCTAAGTTAAGGATATAATTTTGTCTTAGTGACAACGTTTTTAAATGTTTTACCTTTTTGAATATTCCAGACGGAACCTTGTTGACTTTGTTGTTGTCCAGGAAAAGATATTCCAATTGTTCAAGACCTTCAAATGCCAGTGCACCAAGTTCTGCGATTTTATTGTTCCTTACGAATAAACGTTTCAGCTTTCCAAGATGATGAAATGTGAAGTTCCCCAGAATTGTTAAGTTGTTCCGATCTAATCCCAGAAGCTTTAGGTTTGGCATTAACAAATAATCAGGATGAATGATTGAGATATGATTATCGCTGAGCACAAGAATATCTGTGTCATTAGAATAAAACATATTAGCTGGAAATGATCGAATAACATTGCCATTGAAATATATGAATTCGAGCCGAGTGTCCTTAATACTTCCGTGTACGTGTTCGATTTGATTCATCTGGAGGTCTACAAATGTCAAGGCTACGCATTTCACGAACAAATCGAATGAGAAATGAGTAATGTTGTTCGAACCCAACTTTACATGTGTAAGATTGTATAATTTGGACGTACTTGAAAATATGTCGACTGGTAATTCTTTTATCCAATTCTGTCCAATGTCTAAATGTTCTATATTTGTTAACCCTTCGAAGGCATTCGCGTCCAAAATATGTATGGAGCAATTATAGAGACTAAGGTTGGTCAGCATGTTCATTTGAGAGAATGAAGCATTTGGTATACTGACCAATTTGTTATTTGAGAGATCCAGATCTTGAAGATTGCCTAGACATGTCGATTTGGATTGGAACGCAGCAGTTGGGAATCCTGTCAGCTTTAAGTAATCCAATTTTAATGTTTTCAGTTTGGGCATAGTGCAAAATAGTCCATTAGGGAGGAACCCTATTGGGTTTCTTGTTAAGACTAAATCTTCCAATGCAACCAAATCATCAAACGCATGTTGCTCAACTACAGAAATATTGTTGTTCGCTAGATCCAACCATCTTAAGTGAACAAGGCCCTTTAAGAATGTCACAGACATGTTCTTCAAGAAGCATTCAATTCTTGAGTAACGAATATCCTTATACTGTCCCAAAGTAACAGCATTAGGAATCGAAGGTTTCAATCCATTGTATTCTCTACATTTAACATGTAAAACGGTCGTGTTTCTTTGAACCAACGGATCGTCCCAATCAGATTCAATGTCAAGCTTATAGATCGTGCCCACGATGGTGTTGCTCTTCACATCCAATACAGTTGAATATTGACCAACTGTTAACCATTTCGAACTGTCTATATCAATGACAACCTGACCCTGATTGTTTTCCAAAGGCCATTTGTACTTATATTCTGGAATGTCTTGAGATGTTGCTCTGTACATAATCCAATTTTCAGTCGGTGGTCCATCTATTACAATTTGTCTCGTCTTCGAAATATGGCAGATGATTAAAAACACAAACGCAAAGCAAATTAAGTTTTGAATGTCCAACATATTGCTCTCTAGATGTCGATTATATTTGTATTATGTTTTTATAGTTTCTTAACAGCACAGTTGCCTTTTTACCTGGAATATAGCGACAAGCTCAACAAAATAAAGTAAACAAACCTTATATTTTCTGCTGCTATGATTTGCTTTGTGGAGTTTTACATACCAGGCCGATCAATTTTATCGATTCAAACTAGTTTTGTGACCTTTTCATTCACACTGCTACCCACCTAGTTACACAGACGTATCGTCAGTGTATCATGGCTGAACTACTTCCGGGATTTGAATTTGGTAAGATATTTTTATTTCTCGATTTACATCTACTTATAAGTCACGATATGGATTATAATTTGGCTCAAGTTATGGGAGATAGTCTTGTTTGAGAATGTGTCGATGGTTTTAGGTTGGGTATGTTAAAGAATTCGCATTTCACATATTTAGTACCTCGCTTTTGTTACACTGACGATCGGCATTAATATTGCCAATATTACACTGATATTGGTCGTTCGTCAGTGTAACAAAAGCGAGGGACTAAATACGTGAATTGTGTCTTCGTTAACATATAAAACCTAAAACCATCGACACATTCTCAAACAAGACTATCTTCCTTAACTTCGAGCCAAATTATTATCCACAACGTGACTTATAAGTAGGTGTAAATCGGGAAATAAAAAAATCTTACCGAAACCTAGTCCCGGAAGTAGTTCCGCCATGATACACTGACGATACGTCTGTGTAACTAGGTGGGTAGCAGTGATTCAAATCTGTGGTGTGAAATACATTTTTTAAAGGTTTTTGTTATTTATTTCTATAGAATTCAACATAATTATTTACATAGATTGCGAGGGGCCGAGGCTACATATAAATACATTCTAGAATTAGAATGCTTAGAATGTTTTAAACACTGATTCTTCTGAACTTTGATGAATTATATGGTTACTTGTGAAGCCTAGGTAACATTTGCCCCAATCTATCGGCTGGTGCCCGGTCGATTGAGTATTTTGTTCAAAATTGAAGGTCAACTCTCAAATGTTATGGTCAGTTGTAAACTCCTGGGAACTTGTACATGATTTCAAAAAAAGTTTGGTCAATTTGAAGCAAGTTGAAATCAGTTTTGAACAATATACTACAATCAGCCGGGCGGCGGCCGATGAATTGGAGCAATTTTTTTTTTTTTTTATAGGTTATGTTTTATTTATCAATACTATCATTTCACAATGTCCGACAATGGGCCAAGGCCATTGGCATTAGTGGCCCATGTCGATTTTCACAAATACGTAGGCACATAAAAATCAAGTAATTTTAGGCTGCTGAACACTCAGCATGACAATACATGTAAGTTACATGTGACATTTTACACCAAATATATAAAGTTAAACATAGTCTACAATTAAAGAAATAAAGTTGGCAGTTGTTGTGACTATAAGCTTGTTAGTATCAATTTTATATGTTGAGCCACCATATAACAATGTATCTAGTTTCTCTTTTGCATATAGTTTGTTATAATGGTTAATGTTGAAATTGGGTATCCCTGCAAGGTCAAGTGCTAGTTGTTCCCTGAGATCAAGTAAAAGGGGGCAAGAAAAGAATAGGTGTTGGGTTGTCTGAGATCGAAAACCGCACAGGCATTGAGGATTGACATTATTGAATTGATGCTGGAACTTATGGTAACGAAAAATGAAATCACATCTGGTTTTATTAAGTACTATTTCAGCTTGCCTGTCTAAATTCAAGTGGACTGTGTCAATTAGGGTCTTCTTCGGAAATAAATGTTTTTTAAGATGGTATTTAAAAGTGCGCTTTATTGGAATGGTTTTGAGTTGATCAGGTAATGTGTCCCTCTCCCATTCAGATATAGAAGAAACTACAGTACCGCGTCTAGTTTTTTCAGATTGTTTCGCGGGTACAATAAAATGGGGCGTTTTTCTTAGGGCTCGAGTTGGCCTCTTGTTTCGGTACAAATTGAAAATATTTGAAATGTATGGAGGGGCATTTTCATAATAAACATCATGCATTAATAACAGTTTCTTTTGTTTTCTTTTTTCCGATAGTGGAGCCCAGTTTAGAATTTTCAGAACTTTGTTTGTATTTGTTCCCTTGATACAGCCGCTAACAATTAAGGCTGCCTTATAGTGAAGCCTGTCCAATTTCAAGAGTTCGTGTTTTGGAGCCGCATCAATTAAAACTGAGCCGTATTCTAAATGGGGTAAAATAAAGGACATATACATAGTTTCAAGGTGTTTACTAGCAATCTTATATTTTAAACAATTAAGTGGATTTATCATCTTGTCTATTTTGATACGGAGTTGGGTTATGTGTTCGGTGAAAGTCAGAGCATCATCTAAAATTACACCCAGGTGGCAATGTGAATCTTGTCTTGCTATAGTTACACCATTCATGGTAACTGGCTCAAACTGCCTCTTGAAACGACGTCTACTCCTAAATATCAATTCTTTACTTTTAGATGCTTTGAATTTCAACTTCCGCAAATCGGACCATTCAGACAACTTATCAAGATCAAATTGTATTTCCCGCTGAGCTTCAGCTAGATCTCTGTCCTTATCAACTTTAAAAAATATAGAACTGTCGTCAGCATATAAGAACATTTTACCATTTCTAATGACTTCAGGTAGATCATTTATGTACAAAAGGAAGAATAATGGCCCCCAGATAGATCCCTGGGGTACCCCACTATTGATTATGCCTTCCTCTGAGAATTTGGAATATATATTATTGACACGGCAGTTTAATTTTCTATTGGTAAGATAACTTTGAAAGAGATCAATAATACTCTGAGGTAAACCGTATGATTTTAATTTTTTGATCAACAGGAAGTGAGGAACGGCGTCAAAAGCACCTTCTATGTCGAGGAAGATGCCTCTGGTGTCCGCCAAATCATCAATATTTGAATTAATAAAATGAACAATGCTTACCAGTTGGAGCAAATTGGACCTAGACAAAAGTACTGTAAGTAATGCCTTGGTCACATTTGCGCCGGGCGCCGGCCGATTTCTAAATCGACCAGGCACCGTTGACTTTTTTCCGATATCTTGATTTTGCCGTGAGTATTGTATTGTATATCTTTATTGCCCATAATAAAATGGAGATACAATTTATATGTACAGTGATGTAAAATAAAAGTACAAAATTATGACAAAATTATATACATATTAGACGTATGAAAACTATTCAATGCGCAAAATGCTCGTACGGTTGAGTCAGGCACTGTAAGTGTCTCAAACACAGCCACTGTTAGACCGTGTTATTATATTGCTTGAAAATAATTTGTGCTATCTCTTTTAAGAGAACAATTGCATTTGGATTTGGCACAACATTTATCCCAAGAATTGTATTGAACGAAAACTCGAACTTGTGCTTAGTAAAACATTCCTTAAGTTCTTGCCTGTATATGGAGTATTGTGCGGCAGAGCAATGCATTAAGAAATGTTCAACCGTCTCTAACTGGAATGAGTTACACAGTTTACATCGTTTACACTGATCTTCACCTCCTCTATACTTATAATTCAAGTTGTGCTCACCTACCAAAAGTCTGAACATTAGTTTACAAGAGTCTGTTGCCCGCGGAAAATTTTGAGCAACGATCCACCATATATTAGGATCCAATGTAATACAAACGTTTTTTCTAAAATCTGCAAGACTGCTGTACATAATTGACTGAATAGACGTTCTATAAATTTGGCTGTGTGAAACATTGGCGAAAACTAATCTTTTCCATTGGCCTTTACTTATCACAATATTACAATCTAACATATTCTGAATAATCTCTCTAAATCCATACCTCATAGCACATTGCAACATTGATGCCATGGGTGAAAATATTTTGGTATTTTTAAAACCTTCATGTAAAAATTTTGTCAAACGTATTACAAGTAATCTTTTGTAAACATTCTTATATGATAACAAAATAAGACTCCACAAGAACATCATTCTTAAAAAATCTATATACAAGTCGATATCTAACCACCCTAGGGTCACTGTAGAAATGGAATTGCTAGCAGATCTAGGCAAGGACTGGATCCTTCGCCCAATATCACGTTGTGTTTTATTAATAGTTTCAATGTCCTTCTGCTGATAATTCACAACTGGGGCAGCATAGGTCATACATGGAATTGAATAAGTTTTATACAGTTTAGATGCAGAAATTGGAGTTACACCTCCACATTTATTTCCAATACCAAGTAATGAGTAAAATTGCTTTCTTCCCTTAGTACATTTTTCTTCTACATATCTTGAGACATCATTTTTGGAGGAGAGAGGTACACCTACATGTACTTGATAATCTGATTTTTCAATTGCCTCACCTCCAATACTCAAACTGTGATTAACATGTATGTTTTTATTGTCATTAAAGGTCATATATGCACATTTTTGTGGATGAACTTGGTACCTCCATTTGTTGCTATGATGTGTAAGATGATTTAGAAGGGTTTGCATTGACATATATGAGTTTGACAGAATACACATATCATCGGCGTAACATGGACAAACACATTTGATATCTGCTACAGATGCACCGGTATGAACTTGCATCATAGTATCAATTAAATCTGACATATACAATTGGTAAAAAAGCATAGAAAGAACCCCTCCCTGGTGTACTCCTTGTAATACAGGGAAGGTTTCAGAGCATATTTGGCCTACCATTACAGCACATTCATACATTTTATAGCTAAGGTACAATATTTTCCATAAATGGCCTCTAATACCGCAGTCGTACAGTTTAACCAGGAGACCATCTATCCACACTGTATCAAATGCCTTTTTAATATCACATATTGTAATAATTAACATTTGGCCTTGTTCAACATTATGAGCAATCGTTTCTTGTACCAACAAGGAGGTATGTCACAACATCCCTAGGTCACATTTGCTCCGATTCATCGGCCGGCGCCCGGTCGATTGCGTATTTTGTTCAAATCTCAAATTTTCAGGTAAGATATGAACTCCTGAGAACTTGTACATGATTTTGATTATTTTCAATTAATTTAATGACAATGAAGCCGATGAAACACAACCTAAACAAACACAAACAAATCAGACCCACAACCCCACTTGGAACGTTGCTGTTTGAGTTTAAAACATCTTGGACCCCTTATGTACTGTAACTCACACGTAATTGAGAAGATCTGCTGCAGGATAGGGATGTCCAGCCTTCTATTATAATTCAAGGATGACAATATGTAATGACACATTAATGTCATCACCCTAGGATCATCTCAATATAATAAATGGAATGTTTTCAATAATTGTTTTAAGAGAAAAACAATGTTGAATTCAGTTCGCCATATCGATACCAATCCTTTTGAGCGTTTATCTAACACAAATACATACTTCTTACCAATCGTTAGCAGGGAAGAAGCACTGACCTAGATAAAGGCCTCTGACCTTGACCTAGATCAGCTCAGACCAGTCAAAGAAGCATATAAATGGTTTGCTGAAATATATCTGGAAGTAAGTGAAAAGTGTGAGAAAATCTGTTTTAAATCGATAAAACATCAATGATGTGTTCTGTGATTGCAGTGCTTTAATACATATATTTCAGGCGGGTATCTTGATATTGACGTATATGGCATCGCTACTTTTTTTGGTATACTTGTCAACGAGGATTAGTCATTCTTATGCTCATCTGTTTATTTTGCAATTTACGTTTTAACACTTTATCACTGGCTGGTGATTAACTATAAGTAAAAGGAAATGCGAAAACAAGTAAGCGGATGAATAATGGTCAGATGTAATATTCTTATGATTTCACTGGAGGAGGCATACGTTTCATTAAACATTGACATTACCATTGCAGCTTAAATCTTAATGTCTGCAATTTTTTAAACACTAACTGAGTGTCATTATATTTGGTATTGTTGTAAGCCTTGTTTAATAACCTCTTCAGAAAATTTTTGTTTTTTCAAAAATACGTCAACATAGGTCAAATCGAGGTCAACGTGACCTAGGGGGATCCAAATATTTGACATTTTGTGATAAATTGTCAATTTTCTTTAACAATAAATTGTTTGTGCCAAAAATGCTTCGCTGCCTTAAATAACAATCTATTATCTTTCAAATAAAAACTAAAATCATGGTAAAAGCTTTTCTAGAACTGAAGTTACACACTTTCAAAGATAGCAGGTATCGCGAAATTCCATTGAAATTAATGTAATGTGGATTGAATACTAGTCAGCAATTTCAACTTCAACTTGATTTTGTCTTTAGTATTCATTTCAATTTCAAGATGTACAACAAATGCCAATTAATGATTTAGTATGCAGGTGTATGAATGTATGACTTGGTATTGTTCCAATATAATTTCGGTTCATGGTGTTGCCTTGCAACAACCTAGCAACGGCACAAACATCGAAATAGTGAAATTGAAAAATGGGGGCCGGGGAGAAAAAAAAGTATATCTAAAATTCGGAAGAAGGTATCATCATAATTCTGGTACCACCGTGTGCATAAAGATATAGGAACATGCAAAAGAATTCAAAGGTATAATTCAAAAGATAAAGCTAGTTTTTGAAAAAATCAGTTTTTCTCGATTAACTGTTTCTTACCTTAAAAAATTCATGACACAGTCGATGGTGGCTCGATTTTCATGAAATAAAGCATATTGGGAAGAAAATTCAATAATTATACTTAATTGTTATCTATTAAAAAAAGCAACAATTATATTTTTGTATTATCTAGAGCATTTAAAACAAAGTAACAATCGATATTTTATTAATTTCAATTTTATTGGCATCAAGTTCCAACTATCATAACTTTGCCCCTCTACCCCCAATCACCTTGGTTTTTACGCCAAATAAATATCTGTGGCTCAAGCTAAAAAATTAGTGGAGATGCCAAATATTTTGCAAAAAAAATCAAGAAGGGGGGAAATAACGTCACGGCAATACATTTTATGATTTCAGACAAGGAGGATTGGCTTCAAGAGTGCAACATCGATATTTTGTCCCATATATGGGCATGTCGTGATACAAAATTCTAATTCAAATAGCCGCCATTTTGTTCACTTCAACATTTGAATCATGAATTTTGGTCTTCTTTACTAAAAACTCTCAAGAAATGATCGAGATATTGGTTCGAATCTCCTGAACTGTTTATTTTGAATTAAAAGACGGTTATAATTTCAGAAAATAACGACATTTTGACGTTTTCATTGTTGGAAAATATC